TATTTATATACCTTTTGATACGTATTCAATAATAACAACCTTAGGGACTAATAAGAAAGTAACAAATGCCTTGAAACCCACCACCAGTGGTGGCCAGTCATCAATAATAAAAAGTGCAGAAAAACGTCCAGCCTCCGATCATCTATCATCAATAGATCAAAATTCTCTGGTAAGCGGGAATTGTTTCCAACAACGTAATTGAATTGTAACTAATTGAATTTTTTTTTTGTTACAGGAAAATGCCTCATTGTTCGAGGCCATGAAGGATGAGACATCCGAACCAGTTACCAAAAAGGTACGGGGTGTTATGCGTGCCGGAAAAACGTAAACCATTTCCCAAAATAACATTCTAAGCTAGCACTTAAGACTCTTGGTGGATCCAGTTTTTATAGCGCCGTCATGTTAAACACAGGAACAAATATTTTTTGTAAAAAACATTTGTTTAGTTCGTCGTCATATTTTACACAAAGTGTCGTATCATCCATCCACCACCAAACAACGGCTGACTGGCTGGCTGGATGGATGGATTGATAGAATCGAATGGAAGAAAGATGAAGATTAATAATAATAACGATGCCTTTATCCGTGGTCTAATATAATTTACAGAAAAAAAGAAAACGTAATCTTTACTGCTGTGTGTCTGGGAAGCTTCCTCCGAAAGCCGATCAACACCCAGTTGCTAAAATCAACAACCATGTTAATTAATGTTAAACAAAGAAACAAAACATAACAATGTGTAAAATGGAAAGAGATCAGCTTTACTCTACAACTACCAATGTTGGACTATTTTTTTTTCTCGTTTATTTATTTCAAAAGAATCTACCGTGGAGGTATTGTTTTTAATAATTGTAATATGCGTTTGCGTTCCGTTGCTATTTTAAATGTGTTCCAAAATTCTCAGCTATTTTTTACACATAAAACAAACAAATCTGTGGGCATGGTTACATCTAGGTCCTTTCCCCCTGATAATGTGGTTCTGTCATGATTTTCTGTGACGTAAAATTCATGGAAATGTAAGTTACATAGTTTATGATGTTCCCATTACTATTGTAGAGGACTTGAATGTAATCCTGTAGCCCAAGCTGAATCATAGTTTATAATCTTCCTTGTTAGTGGATACGAACAATTCGTCTTCAAAGATGCCTAAATATTTTATCTCTTTTTTTTTCAAGTTAACAATTTATATGGTTCATGGTGGTCGCTTTCTATTGCAATGTTCGAATGAAATTTCCACTTTTTAGTTTTCAGCCACCCCATACTTTGGAAGTTAGATCTAAGTTTCAAATAACACTAATTATATACAATCTAAATACCGATAATGATAGAAACTTTCTTAAAGATAAGACCAATCAAACAAAGCAACATCTGATCTGTATGTATATACATATAAAACAAATCTATTGTTTTTTTTTTCGATACTAAAAAAATAAAGAAAAAAAGTGAAAAATGGAAATGTGTTTCATTTAAGGATGAATGAATGAAAATGGCCAAGTTTACAAGATTTTTGCAAGGTAGCTGGTGTTCCTTTATTAGCGGCATTTTGGGCTCTTAAGACGCTATGTGATTTGATTAATTACAAGTACTTCTTTCTCATTCTCATCTACTTAACACAAACATTTTAAATTCAAAATTTCCGTCCGAGGTTGTCTTAGACTTTCTTAACAATTTGAACGACATCTTCATCGTTGAGAACATGATCGATACCAACCTTTTGTGGCTGATGTTTAACAGATGAACCCCAGACCAAGGCACTGAAAAACAAAACAAAAAACCAATAAAAAACTATTCCATTTCTGTTTTAAAATCAAATCAAGACTTACTATTTGAATTCCTTGGCAATACTTCGATGCAGTTTATTACAGAAATCTTGTATGGTTGTGCGTTCACTGTTCAATACAATAGGCGAGCTGTAGTCCGGCAATTGTCCTTTCGGTTTGGTATAACTGGAAACACAAAGGAAAAGGGAAATCGTTGGTTTTGGCTAATCTGCTTAGATATGATATTCCCCTCATTACTTACATTCGCACCAATTGCAGATATTCCCACATCTTTTCCAGTAAATCATCAAAGTTCCAGCGATGATGAGCCGATATCGGCACACAATGTGGAATTTTGTAAATAACATCCAGTTCCTCAATGGAAATTTGATCGATTTTGTTCAGTAGATATATGCAGGGTATGTAGATGCGATTGCCTTCAATGACATCAATCAGATCATCACTGGTGGCATCGTAACGCAGCGTAATATCAGCATTGTGTATTTTGTATTCCGATAGAATGGTCTTGACCATGTCCGCATCCAATTCAGATTGTGGTACCATACTGTTGAGGTTGACACCACCCTTGTCCTTGCGTTTAAAGTAAATATTTGGTGGTTTCTTGTTGAGTCGTATACCAAAACCTTCCAATTCATGTTCCAGAAGTTTCTTGTGGCCCAGCGGTTTCAAACAGTCGAGTACCATGAAAATCAAATTACAGGTACGAGCAACCGCAATAACTTGACGACCACGACCTTTGCCGTCCTTGGCACCCTCAATAATACCGGGTAAATCCAGTAACTGAATTTTGGCTCCTTTATATTTAATACAACCCGGCACCGTTGTCAAGGTTGTGAACTCGTATGCCGCCACTTCGGAGTAAACACCCGCCAAATTGGAAAGCAGTGTTGATTTACCCACAGATGGAAAGCCCACAAAACCCACCCGGGCATCACCAGTCTTGGCAACTTCAAAACCTATTCCAGGATGAGTAACAAAGGCATGAGTAAAAATTCCTTCATATAATAAATATGCACTACTTACCCTGTTCTCCAGCACCGCCGCCGCCACCCTTGGGGGAAATCAATTCTCTTCTCAGTTTGGCCAATTTGGCCTTAAGCAGACCCAAGTGAGCAGAGGTGGCTTTATTTTTTTGGGTACGTGCCATCTATGGACCAACAATTAAAGAGGTTAGATTCCATTGCAATTTATTCACAGAAAAGTTCAGCAAATGTACTTACTTCAGACTCAATGGCCGCAATTTTTTCCAAAATCGTACTCATTTTGGTAGAGATTTAGAAACTCTTGTTTTTGTTTAAAATGAAATAAAATATATATTTAATTCCTGGCTATCTAGAAAAACGAAGAAGAACTCGCGTGGAACCTCATCGACCACAACACAACACCTAACTTAACTGTCAAAACAAAATGTCAAAGGCCGATGCTATGTAAGAGCGCGCGACGTATGTCGCAAATTAGGGGCGCCGTTTTCTCTAAGAAATATTTTCATTTTAAAACAATACATAATAAGTTTTAATAAATGGATGCTAAATAGTTTAGAAATAAATTAAATAATTTAATTAAATAGTTTAGAAATAAAATGGAAAAACTTGGCGTTGTGTCTGGTTACCTAAAAATTTTTGTAATAATTTTTTTCATGCTATCACTTTTAACACTTCTTCTTGTTGTCCCAACATTCAGCTGTATTGTGGAAATTGCAGCAGTATTTGTTTTTATGGCGCAAAATTATTTTTTTAATAAATCATCAGATTGCTTGCAAGATTGTGCAGAGATTTGATTTGTTTACTTTTCACAGTTTTCTTGCAAACGAGAGAATAAAACTCTCTTACTCTCTCAGAAAGAAGCTGCTTGACAATTCCTGCAGCAAACGTAACCAGACAGACCTAATTCTCATCAACCGTTACACCGTTATACCTTGTACAGCTAATTCAGCCGGTTATATTTGAAACGTGTTTTTAAACCCAAAACATGTTTTTATCAAGTAAAAGAAAAAAATTATTTAATTTAAATTATAAATATTTATAATCTTTGCCATTTCTTTTTCATTGCATACACAGACAACAAAAAACCTCTAGCTCAGATTTTCCGCGATGGAAACTCGAGAAGTAGATTTTTCCATGAACTAAAGGATCATGAGGACAGAGTTTTAAACAGTAGCTTTGACACGGCCCAAGGTACACTGAGTAAAAAAGTGAATTTAAAACAAACCCAAATATGTGTCAGACGTTCCCTAAAACGACCCTATGATTCCTTTACCACGGCCGATAAATTAGAAACCAAGACGGAATTGTTTCTCATGCCCATGCCAAAGGTCAAGGCGGAGAGTGAGGGTGATGATAAAATAAAATTGAATTCCACCATTTGTGGCCAGCAAATGGATGAGAAGATAACAAAAAAGAATGCACCAGAAATGATAGCCAATGATGATCCCATGGACGTGCCCCAAAGAAATATGCGTGTCTTCGTTGGTAATGTGGACTTTGTTATTAAATTTTGTAAATTAAATCCAAACATAAATGCACTATGGGATGTTTATGGTAAGAAATGGGAAATCTTATTGCTAAAATGTTGGCTAATGAATGCGATTTCTTTCTAGGTAAACTAATTAAAATTACCAAAGGAAAACATCGTTTTGAACAGAATCTCTTAATTCGCAACCTCGATGGAAGTGGCCCAATTTTGCAATGTTCTTACTTTGATTTTGTCAACATTGTGGACAACATGACACTGGGTTAGTTATCAAATAATATTATAAGTAATGGTCTGCTCCAGAACTGCAAGAATGTAAAATTTTACACAATTTACTATAACCGATTTTCCCTTTATGATATCGAAAAAATTGTAAACCAAGCAGATTATTGCAGTTTCTGAAACAGAGCTTTAGTTTTAGTCTGTTTTTGTATGACGATTCTAAACTGGACCCGAAGGAAAATCACCAATTCCTTGTTTTTCAATTTTCTCTACTTTTATTCAGAGTAAAAACTATACGTCATTTTTCTTTCGCATTCGTTTCCATATCGTCATGCAGAAACAGGTCTTTAATTTGTATTTATTTTTTTCCATTTAGGATCAAATATTCGAGTTGTTGGCAAACTGTGTGGCGCCAGTTGTCTGCGAACCTTTAGACTGGACCAGTGCATTAGACCAATACACCAATCTAATTTCATACGCATTCAAAATGTAAACTCATTCGTTTTGCTACAAAATAAACACAGTACTTAATATATCTATAAAAATATGTATATTTATTCATTTTTCTTATCATATAGCCTTGTATATATAGAATATTAATACTTATTGTGTTAGTGCTTAGAAGGAATTTTAAAGCATTTTTTGTTTTCTTTTTATGATTAATTCTTGTTAACTACTAGGAAGAACCTATATTATTTTGTACTTAAAAGGAAAATTGCATTATAAGTTACTTTTGATCCAGATCAAATATCAAAAAACAAATAATGAAATATGTCTGTATGAAATAAATCCTAAAGTAGATATTAAATTGCCACTGTACAACAGCTCTGCATTGTGAATATTTATAAGTCTAAATACATGAGAACTGCAATGATTAGGCCTGCAGCCATGGCGGTTAAATATCCCAAGTGAATACTGCTCTTTTGTTGATAGTAACTGAAATATGAAGTAAAAGTAATACAATTTAAAAAAAGACAAATAAATAGATAGATTGTAAAGTTGTACTTACATCACTTTTTTCCTGGGTGAAAATGGCGATGGAGGGTTAACACCCGGTACATTACTATCTAAATATACCAAACTGTAACCAAATATGGCAACAAGTAAGCCACACACAATGGGTTTAAGTGTATGGTACAATTCGTGATCATTGGCCCATACGATGGCATTACGATAGCTGTCTTCAATGAATCCTTTAAAATTTACAGCATTCTCCATGTTCGAATAGGGCACTGTAATAACAAAATAATTGATTATTCAAGAATTTCTCAAATGCATTGACCATATTTGGCCATACGGAGAGTGATTTTCATATGTATGTAAATGTGTTACACATTGAAAAAAAAATATATATATACGCGGAAGGAGGTGTATGTTAAGCTAGCATCTAGTATAGTCTACAGTAATGAGATCATCATTCAGTAGATACACTTTATATTGTTTACTTTTCCAATACGCACACACACAGTGTGTAAAATGAATGTATGGCAAAGACAACGTATCATCAATATTGATGCAATTTCAATTTGAATAGTTTTTAAATACCACACACGCCATAGATTCGATACAAAACAAAATGAAATGAAACAATTGGTTGTTATCTTTTCTTTCTGATAAACTTTCTGCAAAAATTTGGTGGTTGTAAAACTTATCATCATTGGCATTCACCTGTCCCAAACTTTTGGTTGTTGACACACCAAATAGCCGATAACGGTGAAATTTAAGTTAATCAAATCGAAATTGTCAATAAACAAATAATACGCTTTGCACGAAATACTGAAAGCCGTTGGTTCAATAAACCCAATTAAACAAAGAAATAAAAAAAAATTGTTACATGATTTTTAATGGAACTTCTTCTTAAATATAATTACAACCTTCATAAATATTGAAATCAAATAAATTTAAAACGTTCTCAAGGCTAGAAGACAAAGGCACAGCAAGCTAGCACTAGGAAGGTGAATGTAATTAAGTCAAGTGCACAGTGATGTCACTATTGGTCTACTAGTGGTTGACATGAATGAGGAAAGTGGAAACGTATTCAAACATTTTAGAATGCACACTCACACACACGATACCACCATAGAAAACCGCAACGCAGCGCACTTCCAATTCGAATTTTTGTTAACAAACCAACACCAACCAACCAATAGAGGAAGAAAATTCTCCGCTTCTTCCTCCCCCAACATCCATCCACCCCCACACACACACAAATCACTTGTACTACTTACTAACAATAACCATTTTATAGATCAAAATTGTACAGGCAAATCCAATGAACAGCGATATTAGACGTAAATCCAGCAACACTTCTTTCTTATTTCTTCCCCTCAAATTTGCGATTGTAATGATGTCTTGTCGCTTGTGGTGGCTGGTGAATGAATGAAATGAAGACGAATTATTTAAATCCGTTGTTATTGACAAATTGGCGTCCTCTTTTGCTGGCATTGTGTTATTCTTGTTATTCTATCGATTGATTTGTATATTCTTCTTCGAACAACAATAACAATTGTTTGTTTCAAAAAAATAAACAAATATACACGGAAGATGTACAAAGCACAAGAAGGAAGTAATGACGTATTCCTAATGACGTCAAATGTTTTGTGTAAGAACGAAAAGCCTAGTATTTTCTATGTAACGGCGTTATTTTTCGCCGGTTACTTGGCGGCGCTACTTACTAGGAGAAAAAGTAATGGGTGTGTCTGGTTACTTTTCCTGCAGGAATTGTCCAGCAACATCTTTCTGAGAGATGTTGCGGTGGCGTTCACAATAAATAAATGCCATGGCGCAATAAAATAAACAAGCCAGCATTAGTTGTAGTTCCCAATGATCGAACGCCAAACTGAAAATGAGCCGGATATGCGGGGTCTCCTGATCTGTGAAAAAAAAGGTAGTGCCAAGCATGGTACAATGAAGAGAAGGTAGGTCAACTTTGAAAAAATTGCAAGTATAGAGGTCTACCCATGGTACAATTATATCAAGGTAGGGCTATGATACCACATGATTTCAATTTTTTTATTTTCTTGACTTAATATGCTTAATATGTCATCTTTATTTGTTTATGTATGTGTTTTCTTTTCCATAACAAAAAAATTGTTCAGAAAATATTCAAATTCGGGTGTTTTCAAAATGAACGTATGCATCGACAGAATCTACAGTTTTTGTAGCGTAATAATCCTTTGTTTCAACAAAGTACAAGTACAAAGCCGTTTGGTTTGGCTGTTCGTTGCGAGCGTTAAAAACAAAAATGAAAAACGTCCCAACGAAACGTATATGAAGGCCACAAAGGAATACCCGATAAAAAATAAACAGAAAGCAAAGACTCGGGGTACTCTGTTGTTTACGAATGAGTGTAATGCATAACGCCCGGGTACTCTGTTGTTTACGAATGAGACATGAGAAAATTGAACATCTTCACTGAAGAGCTCGGAACTAGTTCAACGTAGATGTGTACTTTTCTATGTAACGGCGTTATTTTTCGCCGGTTACTTGGCGGCGCTACTTACTAGGAGAAATAATAATAGGTGTGTCTGGTTACTTTTCCTGCAGGAATTGTCCAGCAACATCTTTCTGAGAGATGTTGCGGTGGCGTTCACAATAAGTAAATGCCATGGCGCAATAAAATAAACAAGCCAGCATTAGTTGTAGTTCCCAATGATCGAACGCCAAACTGAAAATGAGCCGGATATGCGGGGTCTCCTGATCTGTGAAAAAAGGTAGTGCCAAGCATGGTACAACGAAGAGAAGGTAGGTCAACTTTGAAAAAAATTGCAAGTATAGAGGTCTACCCATGGTACAATGCTCTACTAGACTATTGTTTAGTTGGTGATGGTGAATGGTGTAGGGTTCGAGCTTCTCGTGAATTATTAAGATAAATTATTAGGTTTAATATGTTATTTGTTAAGTTTGAATTAATCATTGAATTTGTATTATGTTAGGGTATTGTAGATAGATAATATAAGTTATGGGCCCTGTGGGCTTATTTATATTTCTTTGTAAGGTAAATAAATGAAATGAAATGAAAATAGAAAGAAGGTAGGTCATCTTTGAAAAAATTGCAAGTATAGAGGTCTACCTGTTTGGCTTGTAATGTCAGAACTACTATCAAAACAATAAAAATGCAAACAACTTGTTGCATTGATTGCAACCATCTTCTTTAAACAGAGCCTTGCCGCAAGTATTCTTGTCTCATCTAAATTTTGATTTTTCAGTGTCTGGCATAAAATACGTATCTCTTTCTTTTTTTTTTTTTTTGTTCCAATGCTTGCCATTTTTCAATAGCTTGTCACCGTCTTTCTCTTTCTAGAGCTACATTTAAAATAATTTCTATCATATTTCTATACCACAAGTCTATCACATTAATCAGCCAGACTAAAGCGCCCCTAATGACGACAAACGTCATCGCTTTTATTGTATTTAAAAACTAACCGTTATATGTGTTCCTCACTAACGAGCCTTCGTAACTATTGATTTTTTCACTAATCAACATTTCAAGACTTCGGACAACACAAGGATACACATATTTTACTGGAAAAATCACATAAAACAAAATATGGAATCAGAATCCTTGTTGGAAAATAATGGTTTCGATTTAAAAAAAGACTCAATGGATTCATCATCCGATACAAATGATAAAGTCAAATTGAACGAAAATAAAATTAACAATCAACAACATATTGTGCCGATTGGCTTGCTAATTGTTTTGCTAACAATCTATTTGGGACTGAGTGGTGTACAAAGCTGTTTCGCTAATAGCTCCCAAAATGAGGATATTTTAAAATCTCTACCAAACTTGATGTACAATCAAGTCGAAATTAATGAGCGTCAACTGATATTGGAACGATTCTTGGAATATAAGGATATATGCAGGGATTTGGAAATATTTACCAAAGAAATAAACCGAATAAAGCCTAAGGTTCCAAACAAGTCGGCTGAGATTAGAAAGAAAGAAACCACTTTGAAAACCGAATATAGGGACTATAGTGGTAGTGGAAGTGGTAGCAGAGCTGTTGCTGATGGCAGCGGAGATGAATGTGCCACCACCAAGTCTTACAGTAAGAAATATAAAAAGCCTAAATCTAAATATTATATAAAATTACCTAATAATCCAAAAAATGGTTTCCACAAACACAATAAATCAACTAAAGCTAAAAATGCCAGACATCACGACAAAAAGGATCTGAACATAAATAAGAAAAATTCCTCGGCAGAACCAATTATATATCTTTTTGCCTTGGTTTTTATTTATTTGCTGTTGAAAGCAGCATCAGATATCAATCAGCATTACAAATCGGTAAGTTGCGAGGAAGAAACAAAAATTAGAGGTTTTTTAATTAGATTTCGTTTTTTAGGAAAACAAAAACGACAAACGTTTCATGAGACGCTGTTCTTTGCAATCCTATGCTCAAGCTCACCGAGATCGACGTTCATCAAAAGGTATTTCATCAAAAAGTTTGCCGAAATTTTAAAGAATCAATTTTTTTCAACTACACCTTTTACCTACAACTTGTTGAAACTCTCTTCGACACCCGGTAACCAAACAAAGAAGCATTTAATCTGTAAACTGTACCTACAAGAAACAAATGACTTGAAATCAAAAAAAAATGATAACTGACCAAATTTGATAAAACTATCAAACAACACTTTTAGCTTTAAATACTTACATACAAAACACATCCTAAAAGGAAAATTTATTTCTCCTCTATCTAAATGTTAATGTGCATACATACCTATTCAGATTTGTATGTAGAATGTGTAGAAAAGTAAGAGTCGTGTTTCATCTTTTTTTGAATGTACCTACTATGTGATTTATATATATACATTATTAATACCTATACATATATTTGATGTAAAGCCTTCCCCTCCGTACCTTTTAGCTTTATATCTACTAGCTATATGAATCAACACCAGTCAATTTAAATGTCCTTTTGTTGAGAGAAAATAAGTTCTTCTCGCTCTATCTATATGTGTAAATTGAACCAGAAGTCAGTTTTTATAATTTTATTTACATCACTTACATTTTTCTGTAATTGATAATTTAACTATCCAATCACATTTTTTCACGTTTAATAATTCTGGCAATAATAAGTTAAAACTAGTTTCGGTTATATACTTGTAAAGAAGATTTAAAAAACATGATTATTTGACAAGTAGTAGATATTATTTCAAATAGGCCAGCCCCGTTGACACATAGTTCCTAATTTTTGTATTATTTATTAAGCTTGAGCCCATGGCCTATATAAGGTCGGCTAGTAAGTCCATCTGACAGCTAAGTTTGCTGTCAAAAGATATATTGTCAAAAGTTGTCTTCTAGGCCAACCTTATATGGACCTTGCTTGAGTCAATGGGGTTGTCGTAGAGCCCTACGATGACGATTATTCTATTTATTTAAATGTTCACCACTATCTTTGACACTTACAGGGTGAGATAAAAAAACTGCAACAAAGTCAAATGCCATAATTTTTACATTTTTTTTTAATTTTATTGAATGAAAGCAAAAAATGTCGGAAATAGCATCAAATTTTAGAATAAGTTTGGATTTGTTTGAATTAGACAACTTTGGCACGAATTGTGTGCTTTCACGCTGACCGAATGTTGCTCTGCGGTATTTTGGCCCATTCCCTGCAAAGCGCTTGCTTGAGGTGATCGACACTTTGGTATTTATTTGTGCCAACCTTGTTTTCCAAAATACTCCTGACACAATAGTCCAACGGATGGGTATCCGGAGATTTTGGTGACCATTGTGTGCTGGAAATGGAGCGAGGAACCTCATTATGTAACCATTCTTTCTGTTGGCATGTCCAAGGTCTGCAGCCAAAATGTTTGTGTGCCCAAGGAATATTGCGATATGTTCAGATCTCGAGCCATTTTTCGGCCACTGCGACGGGGGTTTCGATCAAGTCGCTTCTTTACTTTTCGAACCATTTCCGCTGATGTTGCTGTTTTCTTTCGTCCACTTTCTTGACATATGTCGGCTACGCTACCAGTATCACGGTAACGAGCGATGCTACGAGACACAAAAGATTTATTCATATTTAAATGCTGGAGTCTTCTAACGATAGCCACATGTGGTTGGTTTCCCAGCCAAAAATAAAGAAATCACATTTGAAATCACGCTTGAATTCCATCACGAATAACTTTTTTTCTGGAAAATTCTCACCAAAATGCTTTTGTACGCTTGTAAACAATATAATGAGCTGTCAGTGGAATAATTTTAAGAGCTCTCGGACGAGTGGCTTAGAAATGACAGCAGTCTGAAGTTGTAGTTTTTTCATCTCACCCTGTATATACTTCGACCAGTTTTCTTTACAGTAATTGAATTTTATTTTTTTTGTTCATTGATTATTGTTGTTCTATTTGTTGTGTGTATTTTAGCAAATTACTGAAGAAATAAAAAACTATTATAATTATTATATTTTATGTCTAATCTTTGTGTGTTTCCTTGTCTTTAACTCACATGTCTCTCATCTCTTCTATCCGCCAAAACCGTTGGTTTGGTTTCCTTTTCGGTGTTTTTGTACTCTTCTCCTTCTCGCCGAAATATATTTTTGTATGAAAATACTAAATTAGCAAATAACCTTTGTCAAGTGATCGATTGAAGTCTGTTGGTTTCCGTATACTCAAAATGAAATACAACGACCGTTTTTATATTAAATTAAGAATTCACAAACGTTTATTAAAATCAATTATACGAGCTTAAACTAGTACGCCTTGTCAGGTTGGCTTCGTATCTTCAACTTCGTTACATTTTAAAAGTTCAGGGTTGTATCCGGGTTGCATGTAATCGTATATTTTCACATGTATGCAACAAAAGGTATCTACTACTACTTTTAACTTGACAACTCGGCCTTTCCTGACCTGAAGTCGTCCTCGGCTTCATCTTCGCTTGAAACATCCAATTCGGGGGAACATTCACACCATTTCTTCAACTTGTCGGAACTGAATACGGAACAGAATTTCCTATTCGTGATGTTTATTCCAGGAATGTCCTCTATCAGGTACCTGTCGTTGCCCAATACTCGTGCTATTATGTATGGACCTTTGTATTTAGGTTCTAACTTCCGGGATTCACCTGTCGCTGGTGGTTCATTCTGTATAAGGATCAAGTCACCTTCCACATACAATTTCGGATTCGAATGCTTGCTGTCAAATCTTTTCTTCCATCGTTCTCGTTCGCTTTTGATGTTTTCTGCGGCCATGATACGTTTTTCGTTGATGGAAATTTCTTCGTTTTGTACATCATCTTGTACAGCTGCTAACAATCGGTTTTGTATTAAGTCGGTGGGCTTGTAATCGAAAATCAACTCATTCGGACTGTAACCTGTTGTCGAATTTTTGGTTGAATTGGTTGACCATTGTAAAACGTGAAGTGCCGAGTCCCAATCCTTCGGTTCTTCAGTGGTAGTTCGTAAATAAGACAGGATAAGTTGATTGACCCTCTCAACTTGTCCATTGGCTCTTGGTGTACGAACGGCATTCTTAATGTGTTGAATATTGTTTCGATCGCAATATTCCTCAAACATTTTTGACGTAAAAGCTGTCCCACGGTCCGAAATTATTCTTCGAGGTAAACCAAAGTATCCACTAACCTCATTTAAAACGTTGATGACGGGCAATGTCTTCGTATTCCTTACAGCTTTAATAACCACAAATTTCGTAAAGGAATCGGCGATTGCCACTATATGTGTATGACCATGCTTGCTTCTTATAAACGGTCCCAAGTGATCAATATGTACTTGCCTAAATGGTAGCGGTTCGACATTACTAAAATGTAGAGCTCCTTCGTGTTTACCACCTTTTGCCTTGTTGTAGCAACACTCTACACACGCTGCAATGTACTCCTTCATATATTTCCTCATGCGGGGGAACCAAAACGTTTGTTCGACTCGTGAGAGGCTTTTCTCCAACCCGTAATGGCCAATATCATCATGACAGTATTTAGCTATGCGCCATCGTATAGCCTTCGGTATGACCAATCGTAGTCCATTTTTCGTTTTCCGGTATAGTCGATGTTTTTCCAATAAGTATTCAGATTTTATCTGTTTCTCTTGCTCAGATTTCAATTCATTTCGCAGTACTCTCATAATATTCTTTATGTGGTCGTCGTTTAGCTGCATCGTGAGAATCCAATCATCGCTATCAATATTCATTATGAACCCTGCTGGTTCAATCTCCGTCTGTGGCTGATCCGGTGAACGGCTGAGAGCATCAACGTGAGCCATACGTGACCCTTGTCGGTGTACATACTCACAATCAAATTCAAGTAATTTCATCAGCCATCGTGCTACTCGAGGTTGTAATTCCTTCGTTGTCTTCACATTAGTAATTGCGGCACAATCAGTGACGATTCGGAATGGCTTTCCAAGTAAATATATACGGAAACGCTGCACCGTTTCAACCACAGCTAAAACTTCCAGCTCGTAACTGTGATATTTCGATTCCGTTTCAGAACAGTGGCGGCTAAAATAAAACACTGGTTGCCAATTACCATTACCATCGGACTGTAATAACACTCCTGCTAATCCGAGACTGCTAGCGTCCGTGTGCACCTCGTGATCTGCTTTCATATCGTAGATTGCTAAAACTGGTTCACTACACAAAATTTGGATTAAACTTCTGAATGCGTTTTCATGGTGTACGTCCCAACGAAATTTATTCTCTTCGCTCTTTCGTGTCAACATCGCAAGAGGTTTCGTAATGGCTGCATAATCCTTTACAAATTTTCGGAAGAAGTTAGTTAGGCCAAGGAATCGTCGTACTTCTGTTACATTCGTTGGTACCTTAAAATTTCTAATCGCTTTTACTTTTTCTTCTCCAGGTAAAATTCCGTCACGTGTAACTATGTGTCCCAAATAAGAAATCTTTTCGGCTAGGAACGAACATTTCGCCAATCGTAACGTGAGACCACATTTCTTAAGGATATCCAAAAATCTTTTTATTCGGTCCAGACCTTCATCGACTGTTTTACTGGGAATTATGACGTCATCCAGATACGCTAAAACTTCTCCTGGTTTCATAAAGCTTATAACTCGGTTCATCGTTGCCTGAAAAACTGCAGGTGCGTTTACCAAACCAAATGGCATCCGGTTGAATTCATAATGACCATCTGAAGTCACGAAAGCTGTGAACTTTTTCGATTCTTCCTCTACTTCAATTTGGTGGTAACCCATACGTAAGTCGAGTGTGGTGAAATAACGATTTCCGGCGAGTTGTGCAATCTGTTCATCCAGTACAGGCATAGGATGCGCTATACGTACGGTTATTCGATTCAACTGTCTATAATCTATACATAAACGGTGTTCACCATTTCTCTTCTCGACCAAAACAATTCCCGATGCATACGGAGAATTCGATTTCCTTATGATTTCGTTATCCAGTAAGTCTTTCACAATATTTGCCACAATAGGACGTTTGGCAAATGCTAGTCGATATGGCTTGCATCGTATTGGTTCTGGAGTAGTAACTTCGATTTCCATCTTCACTAAGTTACACTTACCCAATTCGCTTGACTTTTCTGAAAAACATTGTCGGTTTTCTTGAATGTTCAACTGCAACTTCTTATGCTCTTCAGATGTTAAGCCTTCGTTGATACTAATCGCATTTACGTTTTGCATCCAACACTCATCTCCTTCAATAATGGTGCGTCGACCTTTTTGGCATAAAACATCTCGACCTAAAAGAACATCATTCGGGATCATAGAATTTTCCACAACATAAAGGTTCACGTCGTAACTCGTCTCATCAATGTCAATTGGCACTTTAACCACCTTTGTGCACTCGTATTTGCCACCAGCAAAGCCATTTAAAACCATACTGCAATTTTCCGTTTCGCCAATTATCATTGCAAAACTTCGTCTGATCAGACTCCGATCACTTCCCGAATCAATAAATGCCTCAAACTCCTTGTCCTTTACTTTGACACGTTTACATAGTATTTCGTTGGACTTTACGCTGTCCCTTATATTGTTGACATTTGTGTTCAGGGTTTTTGTTGGACATTCACTTGCACCGTGTGAAGTCCGTTTGCATATCGTACATCTATTCTTCTTCTGTGGATCTGGGCAGTCTACGGCTTTGTGACCAGTATTACCACAATTAAAACATTTGAATTTATTCACTCTTTCATCGCTTTTCCTTTCTGGGGCAGTTCTATTTTCATTGCTACGTTTCGTCTTATTCGATATCGGGTTCAGCACTCTTCTTACCTCGTTATAACTACAGTATGCGTTGATGTCACTCAAAAGTTGATTACAGGTAATATACTCGTTAGATATTTTCTGCTTCAATCCTTGATCATTAATTCCGTTGACTATATGCCGTGCTATGGATGATTCATTTATATTGCCCCGTTTTCCAATAGCATACATTCTGTAATAATATTCCTGCGGCGTTTCGTCGAACTGCCGTTTTGTCTGTGCCATTCTAATGTGTACATCGGCTGCATTTACATTTTGAGGGAAATCTAAAAGAAATTTGTTAACAAACTGAGGCCAAGACAGAAATACCTCTTGCAGTGAGTCAACCCAATACTTGGCTGGGCCAGCCATTTTCTGTTGCACTGCAAATATAACTGATGCGTCGTCCCAGTTATAAGCTGTCTTCAATAATTCCACACGTCGCACGAATTGTGAAGGATTAATCGATTCTTCAGATGACGGATTAAACTCTGGCAAAAGTTGAATTATTTCCTTAACGTTCCCAAAGGGGTTGTGCTGAACATAACGTTGTGAAGGCTGCATAACTATTTCTGACTGCGGCGGCGCTGAATAGACACTTGTTGCAAATATCGGCGGTTGTAGATATGCGTTGTAGGGCTGCGTTGATTGAACATATCCATTGTTCGGCTGCGTGAACACTCCTGTCGGTGTTGCTGTTGTAAAATTCGAATGTGTCGTTATATGTGTTGGTACGTTGTAGCATGACGTCGCTACATTTTGCGTTGTATTTCGTGGAAGTTGAGCATGTCCGTGCAATGAAGGTGTAAACGTTGGTAAACCAGCAGAAGCACACGTGTGGACCGTTGGAATTGTTGACGTAGTCTGAAATGCACCAAAAGAAGTATTCGTTTGAACATACGATGGAATCGAACGTGATTCCGGTAATATTGTCACAACGTTTGCCACGTTTGGCAAGCTAGGCCGTGTGCCTTGCAGGGACATATTACCATCCGGTGTCGAAAACGTGTTCAAAGGGGATGATGCGTTGTTCGGCTCAAATTCTGATTGTCCACGTTGCTCCATAGATGAACGCAATTCAGTTACCATATCTTCCAAATGCGAAATTCGCTCCTGCATATCATGAGGAGATGCGAATCCGTGCAGCTCGCTTTCGTTGTTGACTTCAAGTCGTTCGATCAATTGCTTTTTGTTACCACTTTGAGAAACACCAATTTCTCTGCATTTCGCTTGCAACTGCTTAACCGTGCATTTGTGCAAATTCTCCATATTTCTTGTTGGTAGACGCTTCTTCCAATAAGACTTGTCGTATCCCACTTCTGAGAAAAATGTCAAGTGATCGATTGAAGTCTGTTGGTTTCCGTATACTCAAAATGAAATACAACGACCGTTTTTATATTAAATTAAGAATTCACAAACGTTTATTAAAATCAATTATACGAGCTTAAACTAGTACGCCTTGTCAGGTTGGCTTCGTATCTTCAACTTCGTTACATTTTAAAAGTTCAGGGTTGTATCCGGGTTGCATGTAATCGTATATTTTCACATGTATGCAACAAAAGGTATCTACTACTACTTTTAACTTGACACCTTTTTACAAAAATCAATCCAAACAACCACATTAGAATTGGCATTGAAAACAAAACAACAACAGCAACATCAACGCACATTGGCATCCTTGCAACGATCCATCAATGCTGAACAGCAGAAGCCAAAACCACAACAACAGCAACATTTCTATCATCACCACCACCACATCGAAACATCATCCGTTCAAAGAACACCATCAACACCTCCCACACTCTCTCCGGCGCCCAGGAGCAGCCACGGCAATTGGCAATTGCTAAGACAACACATGACACTATCTGTAGATAATTCGGACCTAATTGTAACACCCCTAACTAAACCAGGTAGGTTTTGCTTGTAAATCACCCTCAATCCTCAACTCAATGACAAACGTTGGTTGTACAACATCCATAAACCCCATTTGCATTCATTTCATTGAAGAGTTCTCCTCCATGATGAAACGAAGACGTTGTTCGGTGCCAGTTGCTCTAAATTACCATAGACAAACCACTAAAAACTCCTCAAATCCAAATCCCTTGGGAACACTAACTGATCCACTAATCAGACGAACCTCCATAACAATGCCCCTGGATAGCTTAGATCCATTGGCCGCAAGCGATGGAACCAAACGTAGAGTACGCATGATAAACAGGCATTAAATTATCAATTTCAAAAAAAAAAAAAACCGCTAAGTTCGGCCAGGCCGAACTTTTTATACCCTCCACCATTTGGAAGGAGCTTGAAATTTTTCAGAAAACTTCCGGAATCTACCCCTTAAATGAAAACTGTTATATGGAGACTATACGAAGACGTGGACATGCTTACGAAATTTTTTGTCTTAGGCGTAGTAGTATGCAGTATCCATTTCGAACTTCAAATACCAAATTTGAAACAATTCCGGTAAATACTGTGACTAAAGTCATCAAAATACCGAATATCTGGAGGTACCGTTATACAGGGTGAGATGAAAAAACTGCAACCAACTTCAGACTGCTGTCATTTCTAAGCCACTCGTCCGGCAGCTGTTAAAATTATTTCAGTGACAGCTCATTATATTGTTTAGAAACGTACAAAAGCATTTCCGTGAGAGTTGTCCAAAAAAAAGTTATTCGTGATGGAATTCAAGCGTGATTTCTTTATAATTGACTGGAAAATCACAGGTGGTTATCGTTAAGGCATTCCAGCATTTAAATGTGAATAAATTATTTGCGTCTCGTACCATCGCTCGTTACCGTGATACTGGTAGCCTAGCACGACGTCAAGTGGAGTAGAAGGAAGAAAACAGCAATATCAGCAGGAATGGTTCGAAAAGTAAAGGAGCGACTTGATCCAAAACCCGCGTCGCAGTGGCCGTGAGCTGAACATATCGCAATATTCCATTCGACAAATATTGAAAAATGAGCTTGGCGTAAAGCCATTGAAATTCCAAAAAGTGCAAGAACTTACATCACAAAACAAAGAAAATAGTCTCAAAAGAGCTAAAGAGTTGCTTCGCTTGGCCGAAAGTGGTGAACTGCCGAATTTGGTTTTCTCCAATGAGAAAACATTCGTTGTCCAGCAGCAGTTTGTAAACAAACAAAATGGTCCGCTCTTGTTTAGTTGCCACCAGAACTCAGGCGCCGGCCATGGTGATGGTGTGAGCCGGCATCAGCCAACAGCCAATTGTAGCTCTCCGCTCGTATTAATCGGCCGTGGCATCAGAATAAATGCCAAATATTATCGCGAAAATATTCTGGAGGGTGTATAAAAGCCTTTGGCACGCAAACATTTTGGCCAAAGATCTTGGAATGAGGTTCCTCGCTTCATTTCCAGGGCACAATGGCCACCAAAATCTCCGGTACCAATCCGATGGACTATTGTGTCTGGAGTATTTTGGAAAACAAGGTTGGCACTAAAAAATACCAAAGTGTCGATCACCTCAAGCAAGCGCTTCAGCGGGGAATGGGCCAAAATACCGCTGAGCAACATTCGGGCAGCGTGTGACGTTTGACCGTTTGAAGGACATGACTCGTGCCAAGGGTGACCAATTCAAACAAATCTAAACTTTTTCTAAAATTTGATGCTATTTCGGACATTTTTTCCTTTCATTCAATAAAATTTAAAAAAAATGTAAAAATTATGGCATTTGACTTTGTTGCAGTTTTTTTTTATCTCACCCTGTATGGGGGCTATACGAAAATGTGGACCGACATGGCCCATTTACGAACTTAACCTGCCTACTAGTAAACTATGTATGTGTGCAAAATTTTAGCCTTCCATCTCAATTCGTTCGAAAGATTGCGTGATTACAACAGTCAAACGGACGAAAGATAGACGGACAGATAGACAGACAGACCGAGAGACAGACGGACATTGTTAGATCGTCTTAGAATTTTACGCTGTTCCAGAATATATATACTTTGTAGGGTCTATTATAAATAATTCGAGAAGTTTCAAACTTTATATAACCTCTATACTATGGTGGAGGGTATAAAAAAAGGAAAACGCATCAATTAAATGAAACAATTTACAAAAAAATGTATACGGATTTTATTCGTAAACTATTTGATATGAATATGTATAAAGAGCAGTGAATGTAGTGTAGTTGTGGTAGTTAAACGTAGCGGGTGTGTTGGTGTAATTTATGTTTAGGGCCCTTAACTAAAATCATGAAACAAACTAAATACTATACTATGCTATATATATGTGAAGCGCATACACATGTGATTTTCTGAAAACGAAAAAAAAACCAAAACAAGTTTAAAATTTTAAAGTTTCAGGAGAGCAAAAAAAATAAATTTTTCATCCAAAAATTGATGATGTTTTAATTTATGTTTCTAATTAACATCCGATTTTAGGCTTTTCTTCTTTCAAAAACTGTTGATTTTTCTTTTAAAAATGGATTCTTGCCATGAAACAAAAAGCTCTCGGAAAGTACAAAAAATTCGCAGCAATAACTTAAAATGTACACAAGTTCTTTTCCCTTCAGAAAACCACAGATACATATATATATATAAAATATATTTGTGTTATTTACATTTATCTCGAAAATATATAATATATATATAAATAATATTAAGAGTTTTTTTATTATAAAAATTTCATTATTAAAAATCATTATTGTGCACTTTTTCTTTCATTATCGAAATTTGTATATAAAATAGTTTTTCATTTTTTGCCAGATATTATGATACTCAAAGTCACCTATCTAATAGTTCCAAGTGTTGAGAGATAAAAGCATTTGCTCCTTATTTCTTTCACTTTTTTTCTTTAATGTACATTTTATTATTATTATTATTACTATTGTTAAAAATTATTAACACTAAACTACTTATGGTGTAATTTTTATTAAATAAAATTAAAATTAAAATGAAAAAAAAAAAATATTACACACTAAAAGGCAAGATATTTGAACATGTACTTGTCAACGGTTGTTTCGATTTCAAACTACAAAAGTGGCTTGGAATACTACTACTTTGCATTTGTATTGAAAGTTTTTTGTTTCGTTTCGATTTGTGATATGTTGCTTGGAATGGAAGACGTTACTGTTACGCTCTCAGCTCGACGGCTAACTCAACTCATTACCTTCGTAAAGACTTTCACAGCTCTCCAAGAGACGCAGCACCGGTGAAATGTCATAGGGATACAGCTGGCGCGACACCAGCCTTGATATTTGCAGTCTCAATCGTATCAAGACACTCATCGCCTCGTCCAGTGTGCTAGCACCCATACCAAAGTCATGGCAGCTCTGTACAAACATGGACCAATTCATCCGTATGTACTTGAGGAAGCGCAACAAATACAACAGGAAACACGTCTCATTGCTAACCAGCAAATCAAGCAGTAAATCCGAACTGTTCGATATCATTTTCAGGAACTCTAGGAATGTGTAGACGGGATTCAACATGGAAACCAATTCGGGAAATGCATTGTTGCGAAATGATATGCCAGCCGTGACGTCCAGCGTACACACCATGGCCTCAATCAGATGATCGTCCTGATCATCGAATAGATGTATTAGAATTTTACTAAAATGACATTCAGGATGGAATTCCAGAGTGTGTTTAATAAATGATTCCAGTTTGCGCAGAACATCTCGTATGGAGCGTTCAATTAACACCATATCCTGAAAGGCATCGTAATCCGTGGAATCAATAGACGAATCCGATGAATCGCTGCGTATTTCCTTGACCGTAACGGCTATTGACTTCAGGACGAGTAGCACGATTTTCTGTAAAATCGTCTTGTCCATCTCAATAACTTCGGCCGCATTCAAGGCACTTGAGTTGACATCATCGTGTCCATAGGGATGATGTTGAAGTGACTGGGCGGCGTATGCAACTGGTTTCCGCTTGAAACCAATAAAGCCCACAATATTCTCCGGCTGTCGACGAGGTAGAGATTCTAAGATACGAAAATCCTTTACATGCCGCACAATTTGATGTGCCAACATACAGGTTTCGTCGGGCAACATATCCTGCAGCGCCAATGTGGAGCCATAGCACAGGGCCTCATTGAACAGACACAACATTTGTTTGTACACTGTGCACGACAGGTGCTGGTTCAAAAGCAATTCGAATTTATCCAACTGGGCATAGAATGGCAAGGTCTCCACTATGGAGAGATTTGCTTTTACCGAAATGATATTCTCCCATAGCTGGAGAAAGTTCAAGATGCAGTTTTCGGCATTTTCCACATCCAAATGATTGGCTATTAGCGCCGACATATTCTTCACCAATGCAGGCCACTTGTTTTCGAGTATTTTGATGGTAATGCATTTAAGATGGGTGGTATCAAAACTTTCCGAGTCGGTGAGCGTGACCAGATGACAGCCTTGACCCAATGTAGTGTTATGCTGAGGATGATGATGATGATTAATTAGATGCGTTTCCATACCATTAAAGTGATGTTGTTGATGTTGCATGGCCGCTGTGCTATGGGCATAAATAGGTCCACTACCCTCATTGGCAGCCGACACATCGTCAATATTCTCCGTAGAACGATAATGCATGGCAAAGTAATTGCTCTCCAGCGAAGTTTGTTGTGTTTGGAAATGCAAATATCCATGTCTACTCTCCCCCACAGATGTCGAAGCCGTCGGCTCCGATATACTATGCGTTTCGGCAATCTCTTCCTCCAGGGGATGTAGATCAATGTCCTTCCATTCAACAATGCGTTTAATTATCTCCAAGCTAAAGTGCATTTTTTGAACGGCAACATAATCCAGACGATCAAAGTTAAACAGATTATCCACCAGTTTCTTTAACCAATCATCGTCCATTTCCTGTTTGGCTATAACCAGAAATGAGGCCAGAACACGTCCGGCCAGAAACTGTACATACATATTGTTATAGCCCGCCAGGACGATGATCTCGTCGATGAGATTGTGGTCATTGCGTATCAGAGCATCACAAACATCCATGATACGCGCACATATAAAGCCCTTGGAGTTCTGCTTTAGATATATGTCAAATAGTAACTGTAGATTCGAGAGGAATTGCAAGAGTTTATTCGTCGGCCATTCACTTAGGTTTGCCACACGTTTCTGGCCATTGGCATCCATTGAATAATGCGATTGGAATGGCTTTCGCAGCATACGCTCCGAGACTCCACACAAACACTGTCTATTCAAAGATTCTTCAAATTCCCGCATATCCTGGGAGGCGGTAATTTCATCCAGCCTTTGTGCCCGCGCAGGTATTGTTGTTGTTGCATGGTTAGTATTTGGTACAGTGTGGCAGGATGTGGTTAGATTATTGTTAAGTAATTTATTACTGCTGCTGGCGATGTTGCTGGCCGAAGACAAGGACAGCAGATCAGGTAGTGTAACCCGATCCACCTCGTCGGCTGAATGGTCATTGGAACTACACACACTACTGCTACTACAGCCACTTGAGGCACTTGCTATCATATTGTGATCATTGTGTATAGCTACGGATGAATCTTCTTTGGATGTGGGCAAGATGCTGGTGGCTATGTTTTGTACACTTAACAGCTGTGTTAGCGAAGATGCTCTCGAACTACTCGGGGTGGATGACGGTGAGTTATTTGACGATGAACTTTGTGTGGCTATAGAGTTTACCGAGGACGACAAGGAGGAACACAAAGGAATCTTATCACTGCTATAAATTATATCCGGAGGGCATGGTATGGCTGCAGTAGAAATATTTGAGACAGGAGTCGAATTTTCAACTGTTGTTGATGGCTTTATTTTTTCAATTTTCTGCCGTTTAGTTTGGGGCTGTTCATGGTTGGCACTATTGTTCGCAAGACTCAACGATGACGGATTTATGTTGGCATTTATATTATTGCTATTGTTGTTGTTGTTGTTATTCGAATTTTGAACTGTGGAAGGCATTCCGGCTCCTGGCATCAGCACATAGTTAAGGTCCCCTCTACTCTGGGTATCCTTTTGGGAAGACATAGCTCCAAAGGCGTGACAGACGTTCCTGACGTCCAATTCAAAACAGTTGATGGACCAAATGGAGATTTTAATTTATTCCTAGAAATACAATAATTCTTGATCATTCACATCACTTTAAATTCACGACAACAAAAGACGAAAATAAGGAACAACAAAAACACCAATCCAAGAAACGCTCCACCATCATCATATACATAGCATTGTTGCCTCGCATTGTGGTGAGTAGTGATGCCATGACAAAAGGGCTACTGTGCTACGCAGCTTCACAAGGTTACGTGTGCATTTAACTCTAAAGCAGTAGCAATCCTTATGGCTTCAGGATTTTGGTTATTCCAGGGCAGTTGCTGGCGTTTCCATTGAATATTTGTAATTTTTGTTGATTTTTATCTCCGTTTTATTTACCTTTTTAGCTTTTTTTATGTTAAAATGTTTTGTTTTTGATATCTGCGCACAACACTTCATTTGTTTTCGTGTACCAAACCGAACGTATCATGTTGATCGTTAGCCACAAACATTGTACGGAATGTTGAGTATATAAAATTATTGTTTTGAGTAATAATTAATTCGGAATAAAATAACACAAGCCACAGTAAAAGAATTTTTCAATTTTTTTCTTGATTTCGACTTCTTTTCTTAATTCACATACTATGTCGCCATCTTGCTTTGACATTAGGGATACGTAGGTCGACTTTCGCGTTGTCTTGAATTCCGCCTTCAATTCATATTTTGTTGACTATTTCGTTCTCACATCTCTCATATGAACACTTATAATTATCATCTTTTTCGTATTAGTTGTAACACCCTGTTGTTTCAAAAGGTATGTAATCAGAGGGGATTTTTATGAGAAATATCACTTTTATTTAGCCCTCTCTCATAAAAACACACTCTTCTTTCAGTGTAAATTGGGACTCTATATTTTTTGCTCTGTAAGTCCTGATTTATACTAGACGAGTTTACTGGCAGCAATTTTTGCCGTTCTCTTTAGAACTTGCCTCTTGCATTTTTACAAGGCAATTATTTTCAATGGGCAATATTTTTCATCACTGTATTTTTTGTCATTTATAATTATATTTTGGTATAAAAATAAAAACACAAAAGGCAATACGAGCAATTGTTTTCCATGTCCTTTTCCCTTACCTCTGTCTAATACAAACGAATAATTGCCGCCAGAAAAAATGCCTAATATAACTTCGGACTAAGGCTAGTTTGCCTGATGTTTAAACGTGAAAATAAATTACAACATACACAAAATTTTATTTCATTTTCATTTCATTTATTTATTTATATGTTGAGATGAAAAAGCCATTAGGCCAATAAGTATCACAATTATCAAAAAACTATAAAAGTGTACTCCAAAAAAATCTTAAAAATATTACATAGTGTATCTTAAACTAACATTAGAAATCATATGTAAAATATGGAAAAAAAGGCTCCCCAGCCAATGAAAATGTATTTAAGTCTATTGCTGGTAATAAAAAAAACAACATTGAATCAATAGATACAGCATTGTCATATATCATTAACAAACTAATTTTTAACCTCCATTTGCCTCTACAAAGTTTTCAAACATGCGGCAAAAAACACCGCGAGAAAAAGAGAATTGTCGTACCTCAGCTGGAAGCTGATTCCAGATTCATGCGGAACGAACTATGAAAGATTTTTCATATAGAGACGTAGAAAAATTAAAATGGATTCTTGCAGGTTCTGAAACAGAGCATTAATAAATTTGCACTACCTTTGTAATCATTGCACCATGAGTGCAGCCGACAGTATCGATAGAAAAAATATCAATCGATATCCCCTTTTAAAATTAATTGTCGATACTATTGATATTGACATCAATTATTTGCCACCTCTAGAGCTGATGATGCATCTGGTTTAACTTTAGAGATTTGGAGAATTACGAGTAAAAAAAAATGCCCTGTTGCTTGGACGAATCGCCTCGAGAGGATTTGGATGTTTCCTTGCAAATCTTATCGCTCTACAATACAGCACAGCATGTGGATCCAGTGACTGACCCCCAGGTGGTACGGGAAATAACGCAAACTGATCATCTAAACAAGAGGTTGTTGTCAACATTTCTACAAAGAATGAATGTTATGGATCTGCCATCCTTATCTGATAAAGATGATGACGAAAATGCCAATGAATTCGACGATTAATTTCTTCTTTTGCAGTATTTTTTTTATGTAACTAAACTTATGGAAAATAAAACTTATAAATAAGGAAAACTGAAATGGACAGCTGATTGTAATGTTATGATTATTATATGCGTCGTCTTTTGTTACTCTGAACAGGAGGCGGTGGCGGTGTGGTTGAGGGGCTGTTTGATTCCAATGACATAGAACCTCTGGTACGCTTTGGCGTTCGCTTGGGAGCATCGGAAAGTTTTGCAGTAAGTTTCTTATCCAAGTCCTTAACTGTGGGCGTTGTGCTAGGTAATTTGGTTTGTGTAAATGATTTGTCTGGAATAAGGATTTGCCTTATATTTTCATTGAAAGACTTGTGGAAAAAACTTACCTTTAGTTGTGTTGTCGGTTGCGACCGCAATTATGGATGGAGGGTCGCTATTGTCCTCAACAATATTGCCTCTTTTCTTCGATAGAAGCAACGAAAATTCGGCTTCGGGCAAAGAAAATTCTTTTTCATCATTGGGAAATGGCAGTGGTTCCAATTCATCTAGAGCCTCCAGATTGTACAAGGTTCGCAAGTGACCCCAAACACTCTCTGTGTCACGGTTTAAGCCTACAAAACAAAAACAAGTTCCCTTGTATATATTGGCTCCAACTTAGCTATTACAATGTGTGAGCGTATGTGCTTACGTTCGGCAATACAGGCTATGTAGAAATGCTTGTTAACACCGACAGGCTTTAGGCCCGCCATGGCATAAAATAGCTGAATCTCTTCCTCGGGTGTCCATTCTTGATCTGCAGGAGCAGCCAAGCTCCTTTCTCTTGCTGTCATCGTCATTGTGCAAAGGAAAAAGGGAAGTTTTAAACTTGTGCTGATTCTCGTAGAGGTGGCAAATTATTGATGGCAATATCGATACTTTATTTTTATAGATAGTTTTCATCGATATGTTTTGATCAAATGATGGTGCTAAACGATAACAGGAAAACCCCAGTAGGAAAATTTATTCAATGGGAATCGAATTCTGCATAAAATTAGAATCCAGTAACATTTTTATAAATAAAATATATAGCCAGGGAGAAACTTGGACTCAGCATTGAAGCAGGAAGAAATATTATTCCTCTTCTTCATGTTTATATATTTTTACTTTTGATATGGAATATTTTTTTTTGCAAAGGCTCAGTCTTATATTTAGTTTCTAATTAATTTTCTATGAAAATTGCCAAAAAGGCCCTATTACTGACGCTGAAGTGTGAGAGAGCAAATATTAAACGGTCCGTTACTCTCCCTCACTACCTCATAAACAACTCACTAGTCTGGCAGAAATAAATACGAGAAGTAACGGCGTCGTAAGTTCGTAGGGGCTTCGACATTCCTTTATAAACTGAAAGCAAAGAAATGGCTTTTGGTGAGCACGTGTTGGGTTTCTCGCCCGATGGAAAACTTTTTGCCCTTATCAATGATCAAGGAGTTCTAAGGATATGGGACACAGATACCAACGAACTCAAACAGGAATACACACCGAATTTGCATTTGTCTGGACCATGTTCGGCCCTGGTGTGGATATCGGTTTCTTTGCCAGGAAGTGTTGTCAAAGACAAGAAAGTAAGTAAATGCCACATGTTTCCTGCAACCAATAACTGAACAAAACACTCCATTTCTTTCACAGGGTAAAAAGGCAAGAAAGTCCAGTGAAAGCAGTGAGTCTCTTTACATTGCCCTGGGTACCTCAAAGGGACATGTCTCGTTGTATTCCTATGCAGAGGCAAAGGTAATGTTGAATGCTTGAAATTTGAACATCATCCACTGATTGTTTTTTTTTTTTCGTAGATTGAACGTAGTCTTAAGGGCGAGGGACATAATGGCAAAATAACATCAATCATAAGAGATACGGAGGGGCATCTCTATACCTGCGGAGAAGATTGTCATGTTATTGTTTGGTCTCTGGCGGAAGAAAAACAAATTAGGTCGTGGAATGTGGGCCCCGAAAAGCCATTTAGTATTTCATTAATGCCTACATCCAATTCATTGGTCGTGGGCTCCCGCACCCTTAAAGTATATTCCACAGAAAAAGAAGAACTGGTGCAAACATTTACGGGACACACTTCAGAAATAAATCATATGGCCCAATTTGTGAGCAATGATGGTGGTGAATATGTTCTTACAACCTCACGAATGGAACGTATAATATGCTTGTGGAAAATCGGAAAGAAAGGTCGCAATAAACCAGCTGCTTGTACTCTTCTAATGGAGGACATAGCCCACAGTCTTACATGTCACATTGATGATGAGAACACACTGCGGGTATCCAGTGTTACACGAAGTGGCGTAATACATCTATACGTTTTAGATATAGATGGCATAAAGGCTGACAAACCATTGAAGCCAAAAGTAACCATTAGCATTGCTGCCGATAGTGCAACTGTTATTGAGCCGATTTCGGCAGTGGCAGCTTCACTCCAACATGCAAACAGGCAAGGAGAATTGCTATTTGCTTATGGCGATAAACATTTCGTCGTATTTGAACAATTGAAACCAAGTTTCGCTGAGAAAATGCAGGTTTTGATACGCACTGACCCGCGAAAACATGTCAAACAACAACTGTTGGGAAAACGCAATGAAATCGGATCTGAGAAGACATTAAAAATGATAACACCCATAATAGATGCCAAGGATGTTGATTACAAGTCATCAATATCTGTGACAAAGAAGAAACTGAAATCCTTAGATATGCCCATGGAAGCTCGATTGCAGAACCTCAACCTGAATGTGGGCGATGGCAAAGTAATACCCCAGGCTCAAAGTAAAGTACAGTTGTTGGTACAATCCCTGCACAGTAAAGATGAAACGTAAGTTGTGATTTGTACATACATCTCCTTCGATAGATATATTTAATAATGACTGATATTTTCCCCAAAGGTTATTACGCTCCGTGTTATGCACAAAAGATATGAAGACCATAGAGCTTACATTGCAGAAATTACCAGTCCAATATGTGGGCACTTTGGTCAATGAATTGACATTGTTAATGCAGCAAAGACACACAAAGTAAGTGGCATACATGCTTGTTATGAATAGTGCAATAATATGCAATTTAACTACTCCCGTTTAGTGTTGAATATGCAATGAACTGGCTGAAAGTCCTGGCCCAGACCCATTCCAGTCAACTTATGGCTTTGGGTGCTGAAGATTTGCTGAATAAATTCGGTCCCTGCATTGGAATAATTGAACATAGAGCCAACTGCTTGAAAGAGTTGTCAAAGTAGGTTTTACATTTAAGCCAATCGAGAGTTTAAATTAACTACATATTTGCTTTCAGATTGAATGGCCGATTGCAGTTGCTTGTTAGTCAAATAAAACGAAATAGTGAAATGGATCAAGACAACCTTAAGAGTGATAATTTGTTGGTCTTTGAAGATAACGATGGTACGCCAAACAACTTTTAAAAATGTCAAACATTTTTTAAATAATATTCAATTTGATTTTCTAGATTCATCAACGTCGGATCTAGATGATGCCATTAACAAATCTTCTTCGGACGATGAATGGGAAGAGGGCGAAGATGAGGATCAGAAAAATGGAGGGGACTCTATGGATCAGGATGACGATGATGAAGATGATGAAATGTAGTTAGAGTACAAATCTAAACTTACTATATTCTTAAGTTATATTTTTAGGTAGTTAGTAATGTCAAAATATCCAATGTTCAAGGTCCCCCATCTAATCAATCAAATACAGTTCCGGCCGTATTTTTTTAAAACATCTAACAAATAGGTATTTTTATTGTTTTTTCTTGAATACATTCTACATCTATGTGTTTTTTGATGATGAAGTATATACGACAATAGGTTGTAACAATTTGTATATCTCATTTGTGTAAATATGACAACGACAGAGGGCATATAACGCTGATATTCACGTTTAACTTAGTTTTCTATAGAATAGTTTCTTATAACGTTTGTATGTAAAAGCTTCTAATTTGTGTGAGTATGTGTGTTTTGGGGAAATTTAGAGATTAAGCAAATAATTCTACCGATTGCACCATATCTCCAAAGGAATTTCTTTTTAAAAATTAAAATAAGGATAACATGTTTAAGGTACGCTAGACAACTTTGCAATGCTGCTGAGTGTATTGGAGAAGCGGGGTGGTGATTGATTTAAGACCAATTAGCTTTGATGAAATTGATAAGACCATTGGTGGAGGAGTCATGTGAGGAAACGGGATCCTTGTTGGCCAATTCCGGTTCAATAGCCTTTGCCAATTGTTTGCCAAGTTCAACACCCCATTGATCGAATGAGTTGATGTCCCAAACAATGCCTTGGGTAAAGATTTTATGTTCATACATAGCTGTGGGATAGATAAAAGGAGAAAAGAAGTGTTTACGTTCATGATATAGTTTTTCTGTGGGTTTTGTGGTTTAACCTACCAATGAGAGCTCCCAGAATGAAGGGAGTCAGCTTCTTGACAACAATGGAGTTTGTGGGACGGTTGCCGGTAAACACTTTATGTGGCAAGAGCTGTTCTAGTTTCTCCCCCTTAACGCCAGCCTTTTCCAGTTCAGCCTTAGCTTGCTCCGATGTCTTGCCATATGCCAGAGCTTCAGTCTGGGCCAAGAAGTTGGCAAGCAAAATCTTGTGATGGACACCACCGGCAATTGGGTTGTGGGTGTTTGCTGGAGCAATGAAATCACATGGAATCAAACGGGTACCCTGGTGAATAAGTTGATAGAAAGCATGTTGACCATTGGTTCCAGGTTCACCCCAAATAATTGGGCCAGTGTTGTAATCGACGACTTTGGAGCCAGTTTTGGTAACAAATTTACCATTACTCTCCATATCGCCTTGTTGGAAGTAGGCAGGGAAACGGTGCAGGTATTGGTCATATGGCAAAATGGCATGGGTTTCGGCATTGTAGAAGTTGGAATACCATATTCCCAGCATGGCCAAGATGACAGGGGCCTATAAAAGATTATTTCAATTAAAAAAAAAATTAAAACAAAAAAATTACAAAAAAAAACTTACGTTTTGCTCAAATGGAGCGGTTTTGAAATGCTTGTCCATAAAATGTGCTCCTTCCAACAATTGTTCAAAATGCTCAAAGCCAATGGATAAACAAATTGATAAGCCAATGGCGGACCACAAGGAGTAACGTCCTCCAACCCAATCCCAGAAACCAAACATGTTCTTGCTATCAATGCCGAATTCAGTGACTTTCTCTTTGTTGGTGGACAAAGCAACAAAATGCTTAGCAACGGCTGAGGGCTAGAGCGAAAACAAGAATTTAACATAAATTATCATGCTTTTGCGTGTACATGTGTACGTAACCGCAAATTTCGAAGATACTTACATCTTTTGTTTGTTCCAATAACCAATTCTTGGCCGAGGTGGCATTTGTTATGGTCTCTTGTGTGGTAAATGTCTTGGAGGCAATGATAAACAGTGTGGTTTCATAGTTAACTTTCTTCAAAACCTCGGCCATGTGAGTGCCATCAATGTTGGAGACAAAATGGGAACGTAGACCCTTGCAATAGGGTTTCAAAGCTTCTGTGACCATAAGAGGACCCAAATCGCTGCCACCAATGCCAATGTTGACGACATCTGTGATTTGCTTTCCAGTGAAACCGCGCCAAACTCCGGAAATAACTTGATTGGTAAACTCCTTCATGTGCGTCAATTCAGCACGAACATCGGGCATAACATCTTTTCCATCAACCAAAATGGCCTCATCACCGCGATTGCGCAAAGCAATGTGCAATACAGCACGGTTTTCGGTGATGTTAATGGCCTGGCCAGACATCATGGCATCACGGGCCTCAGCAACGCGTCTCGTCTTGGCCAATTCCAAAAGAAGACCCCATACTTCTGGGGTTACACGATTTTTGGAGTAATCAAGTAAAATGTCGCCATCATTGGGCGTACTGATGCGCAAGCTATAAAAAAGGTTTGGACATTATCAACACGACTTAATATTTTTATCCTCTAAAACAGATAGTAATGGGGAGTGAAAAAGGACCGACCGTTCGTGATTTAAGAGAAAGAAAAAAACTGAAATTTCAAAATCCATTTCTTTTTAAATGATTTGAAATACATTTTTTGCGTACCGTTTATTTTTTACATTTGATAATTATTAATTAATTTTTATGGCATCATGATGTCGGTCATTAAATTAATTCTTTTGTCTATTGATCTAATGAATTCCAATTAATTAAATACCAAATTGCGAATTGGCAGCAATAGGGGCAGGGAGTGGCAAGGGACAATTTCAAATTGGGAGTGAAATTTTAATTCTAAACAAATATAAAATTCATGTACCCGACTCCAATGGAAGTAAACAAAAAAATTGTTTAATAAATAGCAGAAATATGTTCTTTAGTTCCATATTCCCATTAGTTAATTATTAACGCATATGACGTCTGCCACCGAAGTCTAATTATTAAATGAAAACCTCTTAAGACAATGTTGCAGTCTCCGATATTCGGCTAAAAAAATTAAATAGAAATGTTTGCATTTTTGCAAACCCCATCTGAGTGTGGGACTTTCACTTTTATCGAATGTTGATGGCCTTTTGAAATTGAATCTCATGAAGGTGCAATCAAGCAATGGTGTCATGTAATAGTTAGTAAAAGTTCTGTATAATAACCTTGATGTAACCTGGACTATGTTCGCATATTTAAACAAGGATTAACCATATGACAGAGATTATTTGAAAGTTCTAGCAATAAAAACTGTATGCATTGTAATATAGATAATGAAAATGAAACAGACAGACAATGGTTACCTGAATTTTTTGAAGCGCTCAGCATCACTTTCGAATAGATTTTTTATGTTAATTTTTTCGCCATTCTCTTTGTAATAGTCGGCAATTTTTTTGTAAACCGCTTCCGTTGAGAGTAGAGGTAGTGGACCAGCCATTTTAAAAAGGGTTTTACAAAAAGAAATTGAATTCAAATGTGTTCTAGAAAAGTAAGTATAGTTTTTCCAAGCAAATGCCGACTGGATACGTGCTGCGGTTAGAATTTTGAACTTAACTCAACTCCAGCAAATGAATACAACGAATACAGAAAGTTTCAATGTCAAATGAAAAACAAAATTCGCACAACATATGGGCGAAAGTAAAGGGGATACAGCAGGGCTGTATTTGGCGGCAGTAAACGTTACAGGAAATACAACTCGGCTTCTCTCAGAATACAACTCTTATAAGTACCCAGCACACACGTTTTTTAACGTTTTCCTTTTTTTGAATTAATTAAATATGGGTTATGAAACATCATGAAAGTCAACGAAATATTCTATTTTGATATCAAAGACAAATCTGAAATACTAATAGCCTTCGAAATGAAAAATCTTTAGACTCCCATTTGAAAAATAACGAAAACTTTGAAGTTTCTGACAAGATTATACTATTGGTAGGTTTTTGTCATTAAGTTTGTAATACCTCGAAATATATATTTTAGACCCCACAAAGTATATATATTTTCTTGATTAGCATACAGTTCTACGTCGCGAGGTCCGTCCGTTTGTCCATCTGTGGAAATCACTCTTGGTTCCGAACGAATGGAAGTAGATTGATAAAATTTTACTCAAATGTGTATTATATATTATTTACGTCGACGTTTTGGTATACGTATTTGCAATTTGAAGTTCGAAATGGATACTACAGCCTAAGACAGAAAATTTTCTGTGCAGGTCAACGTCTTCGATGATGATGTTATCTACATTATTCACCGTTTATTTTAAGTTTCGCATTTGAGTATTGTAGTGGCTTATGACCAAAGATTTTAACAGAATTTTTAACGGATTTTTTTGTTTTTGATAATTGCCAAATTCGTTCCAAATGGTGGAGGGTATTCAAAGTTCGGCCCGGCCGAACTTACACCTTTTTTACATGTTTCATTTCCTTTCGTTACATTAGGTGTGTCTGGTTACCCTAAAATTTGTAACAATTGTTACAAATTGTTACTGGAAGTCGTCTGTTTACCCGAAAGTTCTGCAAAAGAGAGCGGTTGGAGAGAGACATTTTGACAGTTCTTTCAGTGAGAGTTTGCAAATTCTTGCTGGACAAATTTTTTCTTGCAATCTCTTGCAACTCTTCTTCTTCTCATTCATCGACATTCAATCAGATGTTTATTATTTTTGTTTATTTATTTTTTTTGTGCTTTTAATTTGAAAATATTGTTTTTGAATTAGCAAGACTAATTGTTTTTGGAGAACAACTTTACAAAATGTAAAAACACAAATATTATTATGTAATTAGAAAATAAAAGACTATTTCCAATATTTTTAGACAAACGCCATTTTCAAAACTTGTAGAATTGGTAGTGCTCCCTTTCTTCTAATACTTTTAATGGGGGACAAATTGGTTTGTTTTGACAAATCAGCTGATTAGTTGCAAGCTTCTGCAGGAATGCCGTCTGTTTACTTTTCGCATTTTCCTTGCAAAAGAGAATAAAACTACCTTACTCTCTCAGAAAGAAGTTGCTGGACAATTCCTGCAGGAAAAGTAACCAGACACACCTATTGTGACTATATTGTATTTTTTAAAAAAATTATAAAACTTAATGGATGTGTTTTTACCGCAAATTTAATTTTATATATTTTCACACAACAAACAACACTTTTAATTAAATTATTTTTTCCGATGAAAAGTGTAAAATTTGACACTACACCCTTATTGTCTGATAGCAGCTTTACTCGAAACGTATGCCTTTACGAAAAATAGCGTACAATGGGGCCGTGTTTAAACTTTACTATGTTTGCTACTTTTCCCAGTTTGGCAGGCAAAGGATCAAAGCAATAAATAATTAATTTTCCTAACTTTTGTGGATTTGATATGACACTGTTATAAAATTCAAATTCGTTCTGTTAAACTTTCCGATTGCAATCAATAGGTCTACCTGGTCACTTTTCAAGCAAGAATTATCCATTGTTAGAAACCTAAACTTAATCAATAACAATCTTTGCAGCTTTTATTGCATCATTTCCTTTTATTCAACTTAAAAATTTTCTTATTTAATTTTTCAAACTTCTTGTCTATATTCAATTGTTTACATTTGCTACTTTTTTCGGATCTATCGTTTATGATCTTGGCCGGAGCAATGGGTGTGAGAGGGAGAGACTTTCAGTCACTTGGTGCTATCATTTCTCAGTGAATTCAATAAAATACAGAGTTGTATAAAATAATACCTGTGTTGGACTTTTGACGTATAAAACACAACTCTGCTCGATACCATTTACATATATAACACATATATACAAATATACATTATATACATAATTGTCAAAAATCTTTTTGTATTTTGTATATTTTTAAAATTATTTTCGGTATTTAATTAAAATTGTGGCATGTTGAATGTGAATTACGTTGTCGCCTACAAAAGAAAATCTAAAAAGGGTTACTGCCAACAACTTTAGCATTCGAACGGATGATTTTGTGCAGAGGGAAAGTTTGATGTAGACGACCAACCGACCGACCGACGAAACAAACAAAGAGACGTCACATACAACTTACACAGCCAACAACGTAAAAAATCAAAACTGAGCTTCCACCAAGTCCAAGACACCAACAGCCAATATGGACTATGTGTATTGTGGGGATCCTAATGATCCAATTGCAGGAGAAGAAATGCTAAGTAAGTTATTGTTGCTACCATTTGCTGTTTACTGTATGTTTCATGTACATATTTGTTGTTGTTTTTAGACGTTTACGATGGCACTCGATCAGCGAACCATTACTCGCCAAATTTTGGTGGCTTTAATTTGGGCTCCGAACCAGACTATATGGAAATGGTTCCCATATTGGCGGATGGCGGTGAAAATTTTGGAGTTTCAGCGGTTACTTTTGACAATTATGAAGAACTCTTGTGGATGGGCAATCAAGGGGTAAATATAAATAATACTTATATACCTTTTCGTATATCCTTTAAGGGGAATTTGCAAATTTTAGGGTCACGTAACATCGTATTATCTTAGCAACACTTTGCAAAAGTACACATCATTCCAAGTGCATCCCTCGGATATTGTGCGCCAAATATCTACAATTGATTCCGGCATATTGGCTTTGACCCAGACTTCGTTGCGACATCAAATACGCCGAGGAATTCCGAAATTTACACACAAGTCTAAGCACATGACAGAGATGGTGTGCATGCAACAGTTGTCGCCGCATCGTTTGATAATGGCTGGCCTTCAGGATGAAATGATCGATTTTGATTTGAGAACATTAAAGGAAACCAAATTGGTAAGTGGAAAAGGGAGTTTTGTGTGCTAACATTTTTAAAATTTAATTTCTGCTTGCTCCTTAGGAACATGTGGGCTCTGCTGGATGCACAGTTTTGCGTCAAAACTCCCGCTTTCTCTTTGCTGGCGACCCCTTTGGAAATGTAACATTACGCGACCTCAATTCCCTGCATGTTGAACATACCATAAAGACCCATACAGGAAGTCTTTCGGATTTCGATGTCCAAGGCAACTATTTGATATCCTGTGGCTACAGTGGCCGTCAAGGCACCCTTGCTGTGGATCGCTTCCTTATGGTTTATGATTTACGTATGCTGCGCTTAATTTCTCCGATTCAAGTGTTAATTGATCCACAACTACTGAAATTTTTACCATCACAAACGTCCCGTTTGGCAGTGGTTTCAAGCTATGGCCAAGTCCAGTTAGTGGATACGGTGGAATTAAGTGAGCCACGTGTATCTATGTATCAGATCAATACTACGGGCACTCCTTGTTTGCTAAGTTTTGATGTTAGTTCATCGTCGCAAGCTCTGGCATTTGGTGATCAATCGGGACACATTAGTATTATGACGGCAGTAAATGTACCCCAGCCACAATTCAACAGTTTTTCGAGAGAAATTGAGTTTCCCGATCCCTTGCCCCAGTTGCCGATTGTGCCGATAACGGATACTACATTCCCCCTTTCGTCGATTGTATTACCACATTTGGTTACCGGATCTCGTTGGTTCTCCGATTGGCCAGCGGAGTTGCTCAACTATCAGTATCGACGCCCCAAGCCCATTGATGCAGAAATACTGAATCATATGAAAATGCAAGGTCCCATTGGCTATTCTCCCAACCCTCGCACCCAGAGGCGCAACCAAATACCCTACATTATAGAGAATGCCAGTGGACTTACTGGTTCCGGAAATGGACTCACCAATACAATTAAATCTTCAGATCCCGGCGTCAAGATTATACCACGACGCTATCGCAAAGTTGAATTGAAATATTCCAAATTGGGAACACAAGATTTCGATTTCGAACAACACAATCAGACATGTTTTGCAGGGCTGGAGGCCACCTTGCCGAATTCCTATTGCAATGCTATGCTTCAGATTTTGTACTTCATTGAACCGTTGCGACAAAAGCTATTGGAACATCGCTGCAGCAAGGAGTTTTGTCTTACGTGTGAATTGGGTTTTCTCTTCAATATGTTCGACAAATGTACGGGTATGTGTGAGTTTTGTCCATTGCTTGTAGTGATTTGCTATTGATTTTTTTCATAACATTGATTCGGTAACAGCATCCACACCATGCCAGGCCAGTAACTTTTTGCGATCTTTCCGTACGGTTCCGGAAGCATCTGCATTGGGACTTATTCTGTCGGATCGTTCGTCCAATGTTAATCTGATGAATTTGATACAGGTACTGGGGTAAGAGAAATAATGCCAACGGCTTTTAAATTGAGATGGAACTTATTTTTCAGAATTGGAATCGTTTTATTTTGCATCAAGTGCACTACGAGATTCTGGAGTCAAGCAAAAATGGTCATCTGAACCATTCGAAATACGGCAGTGTTGGTAAGCATCAATTTGGCTTTGAAATAGTTCAGGTTAGACATTTAAAAATTTTCCAAAAGGTAAAAATTCTGTGGACATTGTCACCGAGGAAACGGAGGAAATCTTCCAAGGCATCGATGTTAGAAATGGTAATTTGTTAAGGGTTTTAAAATTCAGTCTAGAAAAGTAATTTTTCTTCGAATGCTCTCAGATGAAGCTGCAAAGGATGACCAGGACCATGAGGCACACGAACGTAGTAAGGTGAACACAGAAACCGATATTAGTCGTCTGTTCGGCACAAAACAGACAACAGTAAATCGCTGCCTTAAATGTAACGAGGATAAGACAAAGCAGAGTATTTTATTGACCTGTAACCTAAGCTATCCGCATGGCTCGAAGGAGACTGAGTACTTTAGTTTCGGTAGCATACTAAAGGGCTCTTTGAGTTCGGAGAAGAGCATTCAGGCGTTCTGTGAAAATTGCAAAAAGTTTTCACCCACAAAACAAATGGTCAAGGTATGTTTTTAACTGGAACATATTATTGGCGGGAAATAAAAAAAATGTCCATTTTTTATTATGAACATCAGGTTACAAGTCTTCCACAAATATTGACGGTAAACTGTGGTTTAAATAACGAAAAGGATTTGGGTTTTCTGCGAAGACATTTGCAACGCAACAATTTCAATTTATCCGAAAGTCCAGCTACATTGAACACCAACAAACCCTGTCGTTATGGCATCAATTGTTCACGCAGTGACTGTCATTTCCTGCATCCTGATCGTAAATCGCCGTCTATGGCCTCCAGTACCCAGCAACAACCGGCAAACGTCAACATATCTCCAAGTGGAAGGCAAACTTCATGGTTTCCCCTGTCGTTTTCAATGTCTCTAAATGACCAGGGAGAGTTGAGTGTGCAAACCGAGAATAGCAACACCAAGTTGACTGTGGAATCCAATGAACGTAACCCAAAAAGCAATGGTAAGTTTAGAGACAGACAATGCATTCATTTCCACATTTCAACAATTTTGTCTTTACAGAGATTCCCAGTGGTGTTACCGAATCGTATCGTGAATATGCCCTGCATGCTGTTGTCTGTCAAATTGATGATGGAACTCAGAAAAATCTGGTTTCTCTAATAAATGTTAGCAAGAAATATCACACCATGAAAATGGAGACTATGAACGGCTCCGAGGAGCAACAACAGTGGTATATTTTCAATGACTTTTGGTAAGAAACGAATTCCAAACACCAGGCCAACTCTAAAGGGTATTTTCCAACTTTTGCCCTTAGTATTTCGCCCGTCTCAAATCAGGAATCAGTTTGGTTTACATTGGATTGGAAAGTGCCTTGTGTATTGTTTTACAGCAGTGTTAACACAGAGAAAAACGAAATACTGGAGTGTATGGTCGATATACCGCACAACGAGCCGCAACCATTGTACAATCCATTCTTGGAGGTATTCGAGAGAGAGAGAGCATATAAAAGTAGGACATAGTGATTAATGTGGCTTTGTTTTCTTTAAAAAGGATATAGAGAATGTGGCCCATGGCAGTAATACCGGTGATCCGTTGTTTAAACCTCTTCAGTCCCATGAAATGCCCCAGGCCGGCGATTTGGTGGCCATGGATGCGGAATTTGTTACCTTAAATCCGGAAGAGAATGAGTTACGTCCAGACGGCAAAACAGCAACCATAAAACCATGTCACATGAGCGTGGCACGTATTTCATGTATTCGAGGGCAAGTATTTATTCTCATATTTTTGGAAGAGAATCCTTTTCATTTTTTGTATTTATTACAGACAAGGCCCAGATGAAGGTGTCCCCTTCATTGATGACTACATATCTACCCAGGAAAAGGTTGCTGATTATCTGACCCAATTCTCTGGCATAAAACCGGGAGACTTGGATGCCAATTTCAGCAACAAACGTTTAAACAGCATGAAAAATTCATATCAAAAACTAAAGTATCTGGTGGATGTGGGAGTCCTGTTTGTGGGCCATGGTTTGAAGAACGATTTTCGGTATGTTTGAACACTTGAATTCAACTCATCAATTAATACGTCTGTATTCCAGCGTCATAAATATATTTGTACCCTCTGAGCAAATCATTGATACTGTCCACCTGTTCCACTTGCCACATCATCGCATGGTATCACTGAGATTTTTGGCTTGGCATTTTCTGGGCACCAAAATCCAATCGGAAACTCACGATTCGGTGGAAGATGCCCGCACCACATTGCAGCTGTACAAACACTATCTGCAGTTGCAGGCGGAGAAGAAATTCCTGGCAGCTCTTAAAAATCTCTATGATCGTGGCAAGCAATTGCAGTGGAAAGTACCGGAAGATTAGAAGGAGCATTTAACTTAACTTTAGTAAGAAAACATTGGAAAAAATCCCGTCGTAAATTTAAAAAAAAAAAAAAAAAGAAAACAACAAAGTACAAAATGACACTCAACTGAACCGTACCGCGAGCAACAAAATTGTTATTCCATTTTAAATGACATTTCGGCACATTATTAAAAACAAAAAAAAAAAAAAAACATTTTTCTATAACTTTTACACAAATCAACAAAAATCTATTATTGTATTTTTTGTTTATCTTTCGTCTGAGACACCAACCAACCGACCGACCGACACACAAATAATGTCCGAATAAAAACAATAAGAATGTGGTCAAATTTATATTAAAAAAAAAAAACTGAAAAAAAAAAAAACAAAACGCATACATACATATATTTATTCATTTAAAGTGTAAATCAATGGACATCAAAATCAAGAAAATACATTTTAAAGCAAAGAAAACAAATCTATAAATTGAATCAGTGCATTTCATTTCAATATCGGAAAAAGGGTAGAAAAAAGGATCAATGGGAATTGAAAGTTTGTTTTCTGGGATGGGGGTTTTTATTTTTTGTTTGTTTTTGTTTCTCTTACAAAACGCAGTTTTGAACATTCAATGTGGTTTGATCAACACGGCCCACACAAGCTCGACGTAAACGATTATGTATTTCGAAAATATTTTCAAGTCTACATCAAATCCGATTGCTTATATCGCACAGCAGTATATAGGCAGCAGCATCCTTATATATTGTCATAGTCTTCGTCCAGTTCCAGACAGGAACTGTTACCACTATTTACCACTGTGCTAGTCGTCATGGTTGCAGCAGGCTTTACGTTTGCCGAAGAGGAATCGAATGGCTCCGCCATTGCTGTTTTGGAATTACGAGATTGTTGTGGGGTGGTGCCAATGCTTATTGTGGCCACCGGAGGTGTCGATGATTTTGTGTTTGTGCCGCCAACTGTCGTCACAATATTTGAGAGGTCAATATTGATAACTGGTTCTGCTGTAAAATTGAACGCGCTAGCATTGCTGGACATACTGGCGGGCGCACTCATGGGAGCCGATGTCGCCGCATTCGAAGTGATTTGTGGCAAATTGCTGTAGTCGATTTTTACCACAGGCTTATTGCAGTAGTCAATGCTAACAATTGGTGCGGGTATGGCAGTCTGTTGTGAGGGCGGTCGTAGTTGCTGTGGAAAGTTATTTGGTTTGTTATTGTTGCTCGAAATGCAACTAGACGGCATTGAAAATGATTGATGTTTCAGTCGTGGATGTGACGACGCTGGCGGCAGCGTGGACGTTTGTTGTTGGGGATGAGTAGGAGGTGGAGGAGGAACTGGAGTTGATTCGGAACGTGAAAGCTTTGGCGGCAAACACTCTGTTGAACTGTAACCAACTCCAGTGGCATTTGCCAACGATGTGGTATGCATAATAACGGAATTGGCATTGGAACTCACTGATCTCTTCAAATAATTTCTGGGATACTCGTGGCCATGTCCACCATTTTGACCATTTGTTGCCATACCCTGCTGATGATGGCGTGTCAACGAACTCCTTACCGCGGATGTTGATGGCATACTCAAGTCAAAGGGTGTATCCGAATCGCCATATGGATCATCTGGAGAACTGTGATTGTCTTCCTCAATATAATTCGCCGCCTCTTCTGCTACACTGATGTCTGGTATATTCCTTACCAGTTCGCGTAGAAAATCGAAGCGTTGTTCCGACATAATGCATTGTTTCATGTGTGATGTTGACAGCGTCTTGGCATTACGTGAATTGGTAATCTTTAGGGTCTTTGTTAAAAGTGATTCCACAAACAGCTCTAATGTCCTAGGTAAACAGAGGAAAAAAATAAGAGTTGGACCAAAAAGCCCACAATATTTGCACAGTTAAGGAAAACACAAAACACAATTGAGGCACACTTCTGAAATACTTAAAAAAAATAATGGGAAAAAATGAAATTTTCATTTCTGATTTGAAAAGGATATAGATTATGATGGGTACAGCTTGAGCCACTTTGCCGACTTCCTCGTCACTTTGCATGATTTTTTTGATGCGTCCCTACGATTAGAAAAAGAAAACATAAACGTATTTAAAATCATTTTGCAATTTTCAGAAATCATAACAACTAGCTATTGTTGTTTATTGTGCCAACCGACCGCCCGTCATCCCCTAAAAACATAATTCATTGGCTTGGCTGTTGTTTGTTTTACTAACTAAATGAAATGTTTGTATGTCTGTCCCTCCGCCGCAGCAACACAACAACTTACCACTGGAAAACGCGCATTATACTTTTTCTTCTTGGATGGCATTTTCCGAGTATTTGGTTGTGGGAACGATATGCAATGGGCAAAATGCACCTCCAAGCCACCAAATTGATATCTCAAAAGCGACTCTTAATTGTTTCCGTACTTCCTTCGCGTGTTCTTCCTTCTCTGACAGTTGCAAAAGATTCTTCTTCTTACTTTAGAAGCAGTTCAGGCTTGTATTATCATTTGGCCACTTGGACACATAGGCAATCCACATGTCCCAGTTTTGTTTTGATGTCCAATAATTGGATATTTTGTATTCTATTTATTTAGATTTTTTTTAATATTTTTTAATATTCTAAAAAAGTAAATTTATGCACTGACAAGTCGAAGTCAACTATCGATAAGTCGATTGCTGAGGGGAAAATATCGAATGTTAGCTTCAGCGTATTAAGATGTGTTTACACCTAACTAGTTATTATGATTTGTATTGGGTGGTGATATAGGCAAATACACGATATACACATGGTAAAATTAAGACAACCCATCTCTGCATTGTCTGTAATTTACCTTGTCATATTTAACTGAATAAAATACAGGTCCTTATCTCTGGTTTCTGTGTATACAATGGATTTATAAATATAAATTTATACAATGAGATGTTGTCAAATGGATTATTTTGAAAAAATTGTAAACATTTGATTGCATGACTTTACTTTCTAAATTCTAAAGAATAAAGGTAGCGGCATCGACACAGCTGCTGGGACAATGATCTGTCAAACCAATTTTGGAAACGAACATTTTGAATGTAAAATTATCCAAATTTGTAAAAATTGGTGAAAAATACATATTATAAGAACCTCCGATAGACGTCGTATATGAAAACATATAAAATAATTTATATATTTAAAAAATAAAAACATTAAAAAATTTTTGACATATATATGCTGGACAATGAACTGTCAAACCAATTTTGGAAATGAAATTTTTGAATGACAAAATATTTATTTTGGTTGAAATTGTTGAAAATTACATATCATAATCAATGATTGTAAGAAACGTAAAATGCAGGGTGCGGATTGAAGGTAATAAGAATTTTTGGCTTAAAATTTAAGGATTGAATAGTCTGGATCATATTTTTTGGAAATAAATCCAGTCGTTTCATTCACCTTTCGCCTTAAAAAATGAGGAGAAAGATGAAGATATTGAACACAACGTATAATTTTGAACCATTCTAATAGGAAGTGGGTTTAGCCTCAGGGCTGTATTTCTGTAGTTTTATAATGCTAGGAACACAATTGGAGCGAACGACGAATTTCGCCCTACGCGGCGACAAAATGAGCCGCGAAAATTCGTCGTATGGAACACAATACCGACGAAATTATAAAACAGCTGATGAAGTTGTTTACTTTTTGCTCATTTGTTGACTACAATGAATTATACAAGAACACATAATTCTTTACGTTCTCTATTATAATTTCACTTATGTCCATCTTCTCTATTATAAATTCACTGATATCCATCTTCACTCAGGCGCAAGTACACAAATAAATAAACAAATTAATTATGTTTTTTTTTTATACGAGTAACAGATAGTAGAGTGACCATAACAAATTTTAAAGTAAAAAGTAACTTTATTTACTAAAACACATAAAATTCGTACAAGTATGGCCACCTTGTACTGTTTTGTTCGCCGGTCGCCGGCGTATGAAATAGAAATAAAGCTAATTGAGTTCGCGGCGACCGACGAAATTTTCGCCGGTGCCGTGATTGTGTGCACTTCCATATACACATATGTGTTTTATTATTGACGACGAACATACGCCGCGAAAAAATTCGTCGTTCGCTCCAATTGTGTTCCTAGCATAAAGCTGTTCTACCTCCTTATTGTACCATACGTTTTTCATCTGTTTGGTAGCGTCATTATTTTCGATATCATTTTTTCGTTTTTACTATCAACGCCTTTTTTGGTAAAATTATGTATTTTTCCTCCTAAAATCGATGAAATAACCCTTTCAAATATTTTCTCATTTTTTGCAATTAAGCCAGAACTCAGTTGCAATGTCCCGTGTAAACTTCATATTATAATCGGTTCAGCGGTAACATCGACAAAAATCGATTACGATTTACGCAACAATAGGTGTGTTCCTTCATAATACTATATTTCAACTCGCAATTGACATTTAACAAATGTCTTAAGGGAATTGAGAGAGCTGCTTTGTCAAGTGGATGACAAAGAGAGTACTGGTAATTATTACAGCGATAACCTGCTTTATGTTTTTAATGAATATGAATAACCAACTTTTCGTCACATTTAGTATCAGAATTATCTAATGACAAGGTAAACGAACAAACCCAATATCAAAAAACCAAGGAGAAGAATTATTTTTTGCATGCTTTTCACAACGGAGACGAACTGACGACTTTTGTCATATATGTCATATAATACCAAAAAGGATCCTTGTAAGGCAAACGCTTGTAGGATACAAGCCTGTTTGAAAGGTAAATATAGCATTGTTTCCGTTGTTTGTTTCTGCTGTAATGTTATGTAACGAAATTGTTTGCTTGTTGTTTTTTTAGAAAACAATTACCAGGAAGAAAAGTGCAAGGAGGTGTTGGAACAAATGCGAATTTGCTGCCTGAAGTGGCACCAAACATCATTGTGTTGCTCTGGTATCGATTTAAACCGGTCATATCTATCCGACGAGGAGCCTCAAAAAGAAAAACAGTAGTTACAAGTTATTTGAGGTGGGTACTTTTGTGAGGTTGAAGAGGCACTTGCCGGTATCGTGATTTGGAAAATAAAATTGAAAGTAATGTGCAAGACATGACATTCTCGTGTCGTCTAAATCAGGCAGACACTGAAACATTTCATTTGCTTTTTGCTTTGGAGCACTTGGGAAAGTGCGGATTCCATTAATAATTTTTTTATTAAATTCTTCTATGTCTGCTTATGCACTAGTATACATATCCTTTGCTGTAAAATATTAGTAAATCGTACTTCTTCATACTTCCCAATTATTTTTTATATTTCTTTTTTAATATCCAAATTTTTTTAATTTTTTTTTGTAATCTTTACTTTCAGATAAATAATGCAAACGCCGCCATACAAACCACCCAAAGAATTGCAAGACATTCTAGACCAACAGGCTACACAGAGAAAACGCACCGCTCAGTTGCCAAAGCGTAACTGGATTCAAAGAAATCCTCGTGCCTTTCAATTGACATTCATTACCGGATCACTGTTGGTCCTGTTCTCACGACCATTGTACGACATCTTCTTCGAAACCTCATTTGCGGCCCCCGATTCAGTTGTATTTGAAAAACGTCACAAGTAATGGAATCGGTGCGTAAGGCGAAGCAACGTTTGCGCAACTATCCAATATTGTTAGGAAAATGTGCCGAATCGGCCACAGTGTATGCAGCTTGTGTAACGAGGGATTTGAATGTTCAACACAAAACCTGTGACAAAGAGTTTCAATTATTTAAAGATTGTTTGAAATCGGCTGCCAAAGAAATGAAAACTAAATTATAAATTTGCAAACCATAAAAAAAAACGAAAAAAGTGAATTTTGCCAGTCTGAAAACCAAAGGGGATCAATTAAACCTGCTAATCTATTATTTGAAATTAGTGGCGCATTACTACATCATACTGTCCGTTAAAGATGGGAGGACCATTAGTGCTTTATCATAGAATCAAAGAACATTTACTAAACATAACATTCCGTTCACATATCATACTGTCAATACTAATACGCATTTGTTTGATTATCTATGGCCAGTTTCAAGATAAACACGCTGAGGTGCCGTATACGGATGTGGATTACATTGTGGTCACTGATGGAGCGCGGCAAATGCTGTTGGGCAACAGCCCTTTCCGAAGGCATACCTACCGCTACAGTCCCATATTGGCCTTTATGCAAATACCCAATGTGGTGGTGTATCATGAAATGGGTAAATTTATCTATGCCTGCTTTGATATACTAGTGGCCCTGCTCATATATGTTATAGTACGCAATGAGCTACAGTCACAATGCAACAAGGCTGTGAAATGTCTTCTCACCAAGTACGGCAGGGGATCACAATTTTCTTCGAAACTGAACTATGGGGACTCTGATTCGCGAAACAGTCCCGAGAAGGTTGCCAAAGCATCTGCCTGCTTTTGGCTATACAATCCTTTGACAGCCGTCATCTCAACGCGCGGAAATGGTGATAGTTTTTCCAGCTTCTTTGTTATATTCACTTTATATTTAATTATTAAATCAGATGACTGTAGCAATAGTGTTAGGAAACGTAATTGGTTGATATTTGCAGCCGGTCTGGTCCATGGCTTTGCCATACATTTACGTTTGTATCCCTTATTGTTTAGCTTGGCTTACTTTCTGACATTATCCAGTAGATTAGTGAAATCGATTAAAGACTTTATGCGCGTAGTTCTATTTCCCAATATCCAACAGTTAATCTTAATCTTAGGAACATTATTGAGTCTGGTGCTACTAACAGGTCTCTTCTATAGACTCTATGGCTGGCAATATATTTATGAAGCTTATTTGTATCATTTTGTGCGCAAAGATATACGCCATAATTTTTCGTTATATTTTCTCATGCAATATTTAGGTAGTGGTGACAGTGGTCAAGCAATGAGTCCGGGTGGCCTGCAAAAACTGCTTACTTTGCTGCCACAAATGATTTTGATACTATATTTAAGTATAGGTTTTGGACAATTTCGTCAGACCCTGCCATTTGCCATATTTGCGGTAGCCTACACAATGGTCACTTTTAATACCGTGGTAACATCACAATATTTCATTTGGTATTTAGCCCTGCTGCCAATCTGTATCAATAACTTCCATGGCATGTCGCTAAGACAATGCAGCATGTATTTCGGCATATGGTTGGTGTTTCAAGGTCTGTGGTTACTACCGGCATATTTGTTGGAGTTTAAGTCATGGAATACATTCTATTGGATTGGCCTACAGGGTGGCGTGTTTTTTGTTGTGAACAATTTTATATTGGGACGTTTAATAGAAAATTATAGCTTTACACCGTTTAAGATAAACTTGAAGAAACTTTTCTAAAATGAAAAAAAAAAAACCATGAATGATAGGTATTCAATAATAGTTATATTAAAAAAAGAAAGAAAAAAAAAACATAGCATTCAATATACATATTTACCTTAAATCTATAACGAACATGTATTATATTTCTTCCCACATTTTTTTATATAATGAAATAAAGTAGAAATGAAGATAAAATAATAATAAATAACCAATACTTTACACAACAAATAGCCGCTAAGAAATCTGTAGTTTAAAGAGATTTTTTCTTTTTTTTCGAAATTTTGGTATTGAAATCGCCAGAGTGACTATATTGCCTGCACATAAAACACAATTTCCAAATTCTAATTCCTACTATTTTAAAAGATTGATTATTTAGATAAAAACTGAGATTTTGTATAATCTCATTGAGTCGTCAGGAGGTCTTATTCTTTAGTTTACATTTTAAAGAATATTTAATATTTCATGTATATTAAAATTTGAATACCTTTTAAGAGCAATCACGAACAATTTCTTTAAACGATATCGCATGGAAAATTCGTTTTTAATAGAAAAATTCTTTTTGAAATCGACATATGTGGAAGCAAAACAAAAATTATCTTTGATATACTTTGAGGAATTTATATTGTAATTTCAAATTAAAAAAAATATACTCAGGAAGTTATTTATAAATGAGATCCGTGTCTGAATGCACACTGAGATCGTAAGTTGAATGTTCCCCCATAGTTCGTAGACTTTCCCTTGATAGAGCAGTACAGTGGCATATCGTTTTATTCTCTCATCGTCATCCTCATAAAGCATTCAACGTTAGAGTTGGACGTTCTTGATATTGCACTGGCCTGTTAGTATCCCATGTTGCCAGGTTTATTTAATTTCCCAGAGCTGTTCTACACCTCAAGACTGCATCGGAATAGATTATATAAGATTCAATGCGTCTAAGAGCCGTTTGGCTATCCACATAAATTTACAGGGTGAGATTAAAAAACTAAGCCACTCCTCCGACAGCTGTTAAAATTATTCCAGTGATAGCTCATTATATTGTTTACAAGCATACAAAAGCATTTTGGTAAGAATTTTCCGGGAAAAAAGTTATTCGTGATGGAATTCAAGCGTGATAGTGTGATTTCTTTATAAAGAAAATAACTGAAGAGTTGCTTGGCCGAAAGTGGTGAACTGCCGAATTTGGTGTTCTCCGGCGAGAAAACATTCGTTGTCCAGCAGCAGTTTTTAAACAAACAAAATGATCCGCTCGTGTTTACTTGCCAAAGAGGTCAGCTTAAAATGTACACCTTCGGTTGGCCACCAGAACTCAAGCGCTGGCCATTGTGATGGTGTGGGGCGTCATAACAGCCGATGGTCGTTCTCCGCTTGTATTAATCGACCGTGGCATCAGAATAAATGCCGAATATAATCGCGAAAATATTCTGGAGCGTGTATTTCTAAACTTTTTCTAAAATTTGATGTTATTTTCGACATTTTTTGCTTTCATTCAATAAGATTTAAAAAAAATGGAAAAATTATGGCGTTTGACTTTGCAGTTGTTTTATCTCACCCTGTATACTGTATAAATGGTTTTTATATTGCTTGCATTCACAAGATGAGAATAAGATATGACAGGGAGTGCAAAATGAACCGGGTCTCAATTTTTTGCATCACAATTGAAGAGCGTGAGAGAGCATGGCCACTGAATTAAAGTAATTTCCGTATAATGTATACAACATACTATCTTGAATACAATCTCTCGAAGTTGTACAACCAGTTGTATTGTGTGTGGCTTGCATTATAAATAGGGGAACAACTCTAGTTTAGTAAAAACTCTTTTCTTTTTTCGAAATTTTTTCCAGAGGTAGGTATTTTTACCCTGATTCCGGGAAACAATTTTTTTTGGGACGAACCGGGGACTCAAATTTTTACCCGAAAGTGTGGGTTCCAGCCGCGTTGGACCCGGATCCCTTACCCGATGTAGAAAATATAGGCATCTTTATGCGGAAGAAGGCGACTATCTGCCGAACAAATTAAATCCAATTTAGGCGGAATTGCCTATTGCTGTGACGTTGAGTGATGATTGCATCAGCTGCTTGCCTGCTGTCCGCGCGTATCTTGTAGATTCATTTCATACGTTTTTGTTTTCTATATTTTTTTAAATTTGCTTTTAGTTGTCTTCATGTTTTTATCATAACACCACCATTCCCTCCCACCGACGTTAAATTTAACAAAAAAATCACAATTTTTTGTTTTGATAGAATAACAAAAGAACAGAAGAAAAACATGAATATTGTTGATCAATTTCTTCGGAATAATTATATTTTGGCCATTTGTGAGGATGCAATCTGCAAGAAATCGTTCACCCTCAATTTGTCACATTTCAAAATGACCGAAGTTCCGGATTTGGTGGAAAAATGTGAAGTTCTACTAAAACTATTTTTGAATCGTAACCAATTGACCAGGGTATGCGGACCATATTTCAAACAGTCTTGTCTTATTGAATATCAAATAAAGAGCAACAATTCCCTTTAGATGCCATCGTTCATGATCAAATTTACAAGTCTACAAATACTAACATTGGACTACAATCAACTGAGTGAATTTCCCCGGGAGTTGTGTCAACTGATAAGCCTGAAATCATTAAATATTAGCTGTAATGCCATAGCAAAATTACCACGAGAAATTTGTCAATTAACGCAATTGGAAACGTTTTGGTGCAATAACACCGGCCTATTGGAATTGCCGGAAGAGTTGGGAAACTGTGATCGCCTAGAGACATTGGGTGCCAGGGGGAATCTATTACAACATCTGCCTGCAAGTATTTCCCGTTTAAGAAGGCTACGATGGCTAACATTGGAAAATAATCGCCTAACAACAATACCCGATTCATTGGCGGAACTGACAAATTTGGTACATTTCAATGTGAAATCCAATCGCTTGACATGCTTACCAAATTGTCTCAGACATCTGAAGAAACTGCAATATGTCTTTCTCAATTGCAATTGTATTTCAACATATCCAACAGATGATTTCCCCAAATCTTTGGAACATATACGTATGCTAAATATCTGTGATAATCCAGTGTGTGGTTTGCCATCTTTACATGAAAAACTAAAGGCAAGAACACGACACCCATTGTTTAATTTCAATTTCATACAACATTTTAATTATAGGAGCACAATAACATATTATATGAGAGTAACCAACAAGAGGATGTGACAAACAATGACCTGGCGGAACAGGAAAACAATCCGGATGACGAGGATGAAGAATATCAAACCGATTGGGAGAACTCAGTGGAAACAAGTGATTTAGATTCTACAGATTCAAGCAGCCCTGAAAATAATTTAGAGGTAAAGTATTTACTTTAATGTAACTTTGCTGCCCTAACTCACTAGAAACGTTTCTTTTTTAGGACATATCCATACTGATACCGGAATTATCACGTTACATTACAAATTTCAGTTAAAAACTGGGGAGGTTCTATGACATTTTATTCAAACAGGGAACTACAACAAAATTAGAGTAACCACGAAATTTAAGCAAATATTGCTTTAGCATACATAATATAGTACATAAATAAATGTAAATGTGCCACACATCCGCTTAGTTGGACATTTTCTTCATGAGATCTTCATCCTGCATGGACATGGCGGTTAGTTTTTTGCCAATCTTCTCATGGATGTCCAAATATTTGGCAACACAGCGATCAATGCAAACCATTTCGCCTTTTCCTAAGGGAGAAACAACAAAAATCAAGTGTTTATTTTTTGGGAACTGGAGGTAAATAGAGGTTTGGACTACTTACCCAATTCAGCCTCTCCATAGCGTGGTGGTATACACTTTTTGTGGCAAGCATTTGTCATGCGATTATATAAATCCGACATCATTTCAATTTCCATTTCTTGCATCATTTGCAATTTGGCCTGCTCGGCGGCACTGAGGTTCATCTGGGGCATAGCCATTGTAATTTAAGCACGTGTAAATTGTTCCCAATTGAAAAAAGATAATTCTATGTATTTGTTAGGAATGAGGGCGGGCAAAAAATGTCACTGCTTGGCCTTTAAGCGTTGAATCGTCTCGTTCCAACTGATTCGTAATCTCCAATATTTGCCTTTTTCATGCGATCACGAATTTGCATATCCTCGTAACGACGTTTTTCCACAGATTCTTTGGATAGCACAAACGAATAGACGCCAACAGCAGTTAAAATAGTCCTATTCAAATGAAATGTGCAATATTATGTTAGTATTACAACTGGTTTTTCATAATTGCATGATAAATAAATGATAAGCTTACCAACCAACAGCAATTCTTCCAAAATTACCCAAAGACATTACTCCCGTTCGATTTTTGTTCCTATTTCAATGAACAAGTGTCAGCTGTTGTGACATAACCTCTTGAATGACAGCACAATGAGAGCGGCCTCGTTAAATGAGAACGTAAGCGGAGAAGCGTAAAAACAGTGTTGCCGTTGATTTGTATAAAACAATTAAATTGTGCGCAAAAAAATCGCCCACACGATTCTTATTGGGAAAAAAATTTCTTATTTAAGGTTTTGTTAAGTTTTAGAAATCCAAGTGTCAAAATTACTCCATTTACTGGAATTTTGAGTTATAATACACACCACATATTTCTCTATTACATTTTTAGAGGATAGAGCCGAAGAAAAAAAAAATACAAATTTTCCTCAACTTTGTTTTGACAGTTTGCTTGTTTTAACCTCTATGTTATTTCAGGATTTCATTGGAACGAAGATATTCAAAAAATCCCTTGAACATTAATAACCACAAAAATGAAATACAACTTTTAAAAATACTCTTTATTTTATAAATAATAACAACTATAAATTAAAAAAAAAAAATAATAAAAAAAACAAAATAAAAAATGTATATATTTAACAATTTAAGGAATGCATGATATATAAAATACTGTAATACTTTTACATAATAGTTATTATCGAAGAGAAAGTGAAGCAATGAAAAATACAAATTCGAGTGGTGACAGAGATCAGTTAAATGATAGAAAATATATATACGACTTGATGAATTAGTTTAAAGCTTGTTGTCTCGAAATGAGAGAGAGCGAACGAGAGATTCAATGCTATTAACTAGGCGGTATGGAAAAGGCTCTTTGGCCACGGCCGTGATCGGGTCTCGAACCAAACCAACTCATTTTCCAGTTGAGGGTATCATGTAGGAGTTTCTCTTCTTCTTTTGTTAGCTTAAGAAGAGTTGCAACGGCTCTTATCAAATGGCGGGCTTCAACCTGAAATTATATTTTTAGAGACTTGCTATTGTGGTTTGGCATTTGCTTACCTCTCGGCTAGTGAGAAACTTAACTATAACATGTTTTAAATACTTGAAATTAACTTCATCCATTATAACACTACCTCCTTGTCCCCCAGCCGTAGCCGGGTCTATGGAAATGCAGTTTTGACAACGTGAATTTTCGGCAAGTGTGTATTTTCCCTCCTTTCTGCCATCTGCAGATGACAATTCATCACTTATGCCCACGACTTTGGCGGATGTGAATTCTTTTTGCAAGGTCTTTTTCAAGTCGTTTACACGCTGGTTCAGAACTTTTATGGTCTGAAAAAAATATGACAATTACTAAATGTTATTGAGTTCTCTGGCTATTAGCAACATACCTTGTTCTTTTCAATTACATCCCTTTGCATTTCATCGAACTCCTTCAGTTTCTTGTCATTGGACGAGAGTGTGGTTTGCAATTCCTGTATGCATTGCTCCTTGGATTTTAGTTGGGATTCCAAATTCTTGTTTAGTTCATGTATATCATTTACTTCGTCCCGTTCTTGTCTCAGCTCTTTTTTCAATAATTCTTCGCTTTGGGAAATTTCGGCGTTTTTCAACAAGGCGGTTAGTTTTTCTTCTTTTTCTGCTTCCAACATCATTTGGGTTTCGTTTATTTGAGTTTGTAGGTCGGCTATTTGCTGTCTCAGGGATTGTGTGACATTTGCTGAGTTGGCCGCATATTCGCCGAAACGTTCATCGGCGGCTTCCAATCTGTTTTGTAACTCTTTATTTTGTAATTCTAGTGATTCCTATGTGGGTATTACAACAAATATACGAATCATTTCAAAAATAATAAACATGGCGAAAGCGTTAAAGAACAAAGAAAGTCGCATTCTCTTTAAAATAACAAAACATTTTATTAAAAAAATAAAAACAAAATAAAATAAATAAAAACAAAGTTTGTGTACCTATATGCAAACGTAAGCATACATATTTTCTTTGGAAAAGTTTGGTGGTTTGGGTTAAAGAAACTAATTTTGAAATATTTAATCTAAGCGTGCCAGTTGTGTATTTTTGCTGTTGTTGTTAGTCACATATCATCCCAGGATAAATCATCACCTTGCGGTGACATACTTACAACTTTACTGCGTTCGAACAGAATTTGCTGTTCATTTTCTTCGCGGCATTCTTTTAAGGCGGCATTCAGTTCATCGATTTCCTCCTCCAATAGCTTAATCTGTAACACACACAATTTGTAAATATCTTACGAATTGAAATCAAATTCCCACTCTATTACCTTATCATCCCTTTGTTTTATTTCCTCAGTGCTTTTAAGTAACTCAAATTCCAAATGCTTGACCCTTTCGATGAGGTCGTCTTTTTGTTTTAATATTTTTCGTTTTTCGGTGGTTTCCTCGGCGACTTGTTTGGACAAACGGCTGACCTGCGTTTCAAGTGCCAAATTTTGACCCATCCATGAACTTTTTATATCGGACAGTTGTAAATGGGCCTCTTCGAGACGTTGTTCCAAGTGCTTCCGCTCTTGTACCAAAGCTTGTAGCTTTTCATCTGTACCAAATGTGCCGAGAGCTTCCAGGCGAGTCTGTTCAACAATTTGCAAACGCATTTTTAGGTGTCGATTTTCTTCTTCGATGGCAGCCAAGGTGATGGTCAAATTATTCTTTTCTTGTTGTGATGAATGCATCAGCTGTTGTAACTCATCCTGTTGGAGACATACACAAAGTAAATTTTAGAAATTTTATTACGCCACTTTCTTAACTTACCTTTATCTCTTCTAACTGGGGTTCACAGTGTTTAAGTCTTTCCAATTCCGATGTTAAATTTTCTACTTGTTGTTGGTGTTGCCTCATGGCATTGAGACGATCGACCGCCTCCTGTTCTCTAAACGAAAGCAGATTACGCAGTTTTTCAATTTCACCTTGTTGCATGTTCTGGATCTTCTCCTGCTCCTCACAGTAAATATCCTTTTGTGTTTGCGCCACCTTGACTGTTTCCAATAGGATCTCATTGGTTTTCTCAACCCTTAGTTTTTCTTCTTGCAGTTGTTGTAGGCGTGTCTGATAGTTGGCAATTTCTTGACGCAGTGCCTGTTCGTTCTTGTCAAAAAAAGATAAAAACAAGAGATAATCGTATGTTATTGTGATAAGCTTAAGGCCAACACACAAAAAAAGCTGCATACCTGTGTTTCGTCATTATTGGATGTGATGCTCATAGAGGAGGAAACACGACTTTTTAGGCGATTGTTATTGTTAGATGTGTTGGAATGAATCATCGAACGCTGATGTGGCGTTATGCCAGGAGTCAATCCGGCATTACCTACCACTTCGGAGCCTGTTTCCTCCTTTATCTTGTTCTTTAACGAAGCAAACATTGTTCTCTAGCCTTACTATAGGAGATGGAAAAAAAAGAATTGCACAAATTTACACACCAACCACCTCAACACAAGTCTTATGCCATGGCCATGTATGTTTGAAACGACTAGAAAATACTATTTCAAATGTTGCCTTAATATTAAAGCCTGTTGTTTTATGTAGTTTTCGGCATGGTTTATTTTCTTATCAGAATTTTATGTAAATTAATTTTTCTTTATTTATCAAGCGAGTTCTTGTCGTATAGGTGTATAAAAGTCGACTTTTGATTTACGGAGTTAGTTGGAGGGGGGCATCAGTTTGCTGTGAGTGTTGCTTGTTCGTTCAGTGTTATAAAGCACCCGTGAATGGCTTTGGTGAGTCAAATCTCGATTTAAGTATCTCTATTCCACAGAGGGCGAAGCCGATGTGAAATACCCGGCGGCGGCGGATAGGCACAAAAAAGTCCGACTGCAGTCGGAAGAGAATCGGCGGCGGCTAAAAGTCGGCTACAATCACGACTTTCTATTCATTTAAGTTAGAATAAAAATTAATATATACGTTTTGAGGACATTTGTTGCTTATATCACTTCAATAATTATTACAAAAATATACTAATTTGATAAAAATGGTTCGAAGGCCACATTGTTATGATGAACAAACAATTGTAATTTTTTAATAATATTGCAGAATACAGGTTGTTTGTCTTTGCATTAACAGAATTATTTAAATAAATAGTTTTTAATATATCTTTGGCACATTTTAAAAATCTTTTAATAATACTTCTCCTACTTTTGATGAACAAGCAAAAACACAATGACTTTTTGCAAACCATGTGGCTGCCACTCCATCAAAATTCATAAATACAAAAGGTTGCCAAAGGTTTTGTAATAGAAAATAAATGTACAAAGACATAATACCCTTACCACTATGAAATAATAAGTTTATTAATCAATAAGATTAAAAGGCATATTTATACGAATATGCTGCATGCATTTTTTCGTCGGCTTTGAATTTGAGCCGATGAGAGCCGCAAGCATCGGCGGCGGCTCAGATGACTTAAAAAAAGTCGGCGCCGACTGCGAGTCGAACGGCTTCGTGCTCTGCTATTCCCGCGTCAATTTTAAAAATACCTGACTTTTGTTGTTATTCTGTGTTTTGTGTGTTTAAAAGATTTAAAAGATTATTGATTATTAATCTTTAATAAGGTAAGAGAAATACAGCATTGGTCTATACTGTTGGCCAAGGGGAGAAATAAAACAAATAGAAAATTGGCCACAGGCTAAATTGCAAGCGCCATAAATAACAAATATTGGCATCATAATGATGAACAAAAGATTGAGTTTGCATTCCATTGCTTTGAACTTTATAACTCATAATTATACACATTTAAGTTCTAGGAAGTATGGTTTGGATTCTCCAGCGCAATACGGACTCCGATACTGCTGGATTGATTCAAGTGTGAAATTATGATTTGGATGTAAACATTAGTGAGTTTAGTTTGAAATCGTATAGATAACATTGGCCAGGGGCGTACGTGGGATGGGGGTTTGGTCTTCATTTTTTTGTATATTTAACTCGAAAAAGTTATTTTTTTGCCAGTTAGGCATCTGTATTGGTTTCGAAATGGGTATGGGTCGAAATGGGAATTAATTAATAATTTTACCATGACACTGACAATAGCTGTTGTAAAAGAATATCTAGTTTCTTGAAGGAAGATGAAATCTTTGTGTTTCACCCCTAGAATTTTTTGAATCCCATTACCGATAGCAAAAATGGAGACAAAATTGTTCGAGGCCTTCACGTGTATAGCCCCTACATAAATCTTGGGAACCAATTTTAGATAAATGTTTATTTATTTTTTTCTTAATTGATGCCTCTCAGTTTAAGTATTCCTTAGATTTTATATTTATTAATTAATTAATTAATGTTTTTGTGATAATATCAAATTTATTTAATTAAAAATTTATTTTTGACACTAGTTTTGCGTTCAATTTTGTTATTTGTTGTGAAAAAATGAGCTGCGATTCAACTGAAGGTGCTGGCGCCGCCGATTCCGGAATGGTGGATAACAAGGAAGCCCTTTCCAAATCAATTTTGGACACCACCGATCTAATTGATAACATGACAAGCTTTCTCGAAGCTGGTGCCGTTGATGTTGATAAGAAAATTCTTAGGAACATGGCATTGGCCTTGACCAAACATTTGAATGAGTAAGTCGTGTTGTTGTTATCCTTAATTGTTAAATAAAAAATATAATTATTTATGTTATAGTAATATTATGCTCAGATTTAAGACATGAAAAATTTTCAAAGAGATCGGCCATAGATTTAAGATAATTGATGCGCTTTCTCTTCCTTGTGAAGTCCACTCTGGGGAGTGTCTTCAGAATAGAAGAATATCAGTGGCACAAAAAAAAGCTGCTGTGATGTCTGATTTTTATAGACTTTTTAATTCAGACTGTGCCATGTCAATAATTAGATTTTTTACGTGTCTACATAGAGTCGGAATTCTTTCAAGACTCGCTTGTTTCTAGAAGAGAAAAACGTTGTACCAAAATTGATTAGATAATTACAGGGTGAGATGAAAAAACTGCAACCAAATTCAGACTGCTGTCATTTCCAAGCCACTCGTCCGACAGCTGTTAAAATTATTCCAGTGACAGCTCATTAGATTATTTACAAGCGTACAAAAGCATTTTGGTGAGAATTTTCCAGAAAAAAAAGTTAATCGTGATGGAATTCAAGCGTGATAGCGTGATTTCTTTATATTTGGCTGGAAAACCACATATGGCTATCGTTAGAGCACTCCAGCATTTAAATGTAAAAAAAATTCCATTCGGCAAATATTGAAAAATGAGCTCGGGGTAGATCCCTTGAAATTCTAAAAAATGCAAGATTTTACACAGCAACAGAAAGAAAATAGACTCAAAAGAGGTAAAGAGTTGCTTCGCTTGGCCGAAAGTGGTGAGCTGCCAAATATGGTTTTCTCCGATGAGAAAACATACGTTTTCCAGCAGTTTGTAAAGAAACAATTGGATCGTGTTTACTTACCAAAGAGGCTGAAAATGTGCATCTTCGGTTGGCCACCAGAACTCAAGCGCCGCCATAACAGCGGATGGTCGCTCTCCCCTCGTATTAATCGACCGGGGCATCATAATAAATGCCCAATATTATCGCGAAAATATTCTGGAGGGTGTATTAAAGCCTTGGGCACGCAAACATCATGGCCGCAGTGTCGATCACCTCAAGCAAGTGCTTCGTCGGGAATGGGCCACAATACCGCAGAGCAACATTCGGGCAGCGTGTGACGGTTTCATTGGCCATATCAAGGCCATAATTCGTGCCAAAGTCGAACAATTCGAACAAATCTAAACTTATTCTAAAAATTGATGCTTTTTCCGACATTTTTTGCTTTTATTCAATAAAATTTTAAAAAAATCGTGAAAATTATGGCGTTTTACTTTTTTGCAGTTTTTTTATCTCACCCTGTATTATTAATTTATAAAAACGCATTTCTTAAAAATGCATTATTTTTAATTATACATTCACTTGTAATACAAAAGTCTCCTTGCCGTAGGTTAATGTATTACATAGCATTACAATAATCCTGACAATTTTGCCTATTGTTTTCTGAATCCCTATAATTTTGAAAATCTAATCCCATTAAGGATATTTATTTTTTGATATATACCTGTGTGTATTGTTAATGTTTATAGGTATATTCGCAAGACATTTTACCCATACACTGAGATGTTTGTTTCTTTTATTTTTTTTTTTTGCACATTAATTTGGCAAGTGTCCAAATTAATTTATTTTTATCTTTTGTGTGAGTGTTTTTGGTCTACCTTTTTCGAATGGCGAAGAAGTGAGACTAATGTCACAAATGTGCCTAATACTAATACAATTGGCACAAGAGTCGCCGATTTTTCTTTGTAAAATATACTGTGGTGACAAAAAGACGCCAGAAATTAATATATACTTTTCAAATGATTTACAGAATTTTGAAATAAAAGAAAATCAAAAATTGAATGAATATATTTTTGGGGAGATTTTATGAAAAATACTTGAAAAATGACATCTAAAAACAGTCGTCCTCAAAGAAAATAAAATGTATAGGAAATATGTTCACACTTTTTGCAATTACTGTAAATAAGAACTATATGTTGTATATATACACTGATCTTATACATATAGGTTTTATACTGACATCATTAATTTTGCCACAAAGACTACAGCGACACACCAAAAAAAAAAAAAAGAGGCCATCGAACCATCATCATCTCGAGTATTCGTCACCATCTCTCATTCATGTTCACAGTTTCTGTCTTGAAATTTTTCGAATTCAAAATTTGATTGTAATTAAAAAATCGAAAGAAAAAAAACCCAATTTGTTTATGACATAATCGGAACAGCAAAGGTATGGTATCTGCCAAATGTTCAATACGCCAAAGTAATTACTTTCCTTTTAAGTAATTGTGGGGAGCATTCTGTATGTTCTGGTTGAATTAAGATGATCTAGTGGCACAATTTATTTTAATTTATTTCATATTTTTTGAGATGTTAAGAAATTGATCTGTGCGCGTATTTGAGAACAGTGAAGTAGAAAAGCATTAGGTCCATAATAATTTTACTAATAACAATAGCAATAATCATAATAATGATTATAGAAATACTGTTAATTAAAACAAGTAAAATAGTATCAGTCGGTTTCGCCGACAGATGTGTATCCCCAGCCTTGAGTTATGGTTATACAAACTGTTGACCCTTTATGGGGGAAGGTTCTGAAGCAGTTGGCCAATGTTGTCCAATTCATATCTGACCTAAGACTGCTATAAATATTACAACGTGCCAGATTTGGACTACATCGGCTACTTCCTATACTTTACAGGGTGAGATGAAAAAACTGCAACCAGCTTCAGACTGCTGTTAAAATTATTCCAGTGACAGCTCATTATATTGTTTACAAGCGTACAAAAGCATTTTGGTCAGATTTTTTCAGAAAAAAAGTTACTCGTGATGGAATTCCAGCGTGATAGTGGCTGGAGAACCACAAGTGGCTATCGTTGGAGCACTCCAGCATTTAGATGTGAATAAATCCTTTTGTGTCTCGTACCATCGCTCGTTACTGTGATACTAATAACGTAGCCCGACGTCAAGTGGAGTGGAAGTGGGCGGAAGAAAACAACAACATCAGCAGAAATGGTTCGAAAAGTAAAGAAGCTACTTGATCGAAACCCGTGGTCGAAAAATGGCTCGTGAGCTGAATATTCCAGTTGGCACATATTGAAAAATGGGCACGGAGTAAAGCCATTGAAATTTCAAAAAGTGTTAGAACTTACAGCGCATCAGAAAGAAAATAGACTGAAAAGAGCTAAAGAGTTGCTTCGCTTGTCCGAAAGTGGTGAACTGCCGAATTTGGTTTTCTCCAATGAGAAAACATTCCTTATCCAGCAGTTTGTAAACAAACAAAATGATCCGCTCGTATTTACTTGCCAAAGAGGTCAGCTGAAAATGTGCACCTTCGGTTGGCCACCAGAACTCAAGGTGTGGGCCGCCATAACAGCCGATGGTCGCTCTCCGCTCGTATTAATCGACCGTGGCATCAGAATAAATGCCGAACATTATCGCGAAAATATTCCGGAGGATGTATTAAGGCCTTGGGCACGCAAATATTTTGGCCGCAGACCTTGGACATTACAACACGACTCAGCGCCATCGCACTCAGGGCGAGCCACCCAAGAATGGTTACAAAATGAGGTTCCTCGCTTTATTTCCAGCGCACAATGGCCACCAAAATCTTCGGATACCAATCTGTTGGACTATTGTGTCTGGAATATTTTGGAAAGCAAGTTTGACACTAAAAAATACCGAAGTGTCGATCACCTCAAGCAAACGCTTCCGCGGGGAATGGACCAAAATGCCACAGAGCAACATTTGGTCAGCGTGTGACTATTTCATTGGGCGTTTGAAGGCCATAATTCGTGCCAAAGGGGGCCAATTCGAACAAATCTAAACTTTTTCTAAAATTTGATGCTATTTCCGACATTTTTTGCTTAAATTCAATAAAATTTTAAAAAAATTAAAAAATTATGGCCTTTGTCTTTTTTGCAGTTTTTATCTCACCCTGTATACCCTCTCTAGCCATATGGCCGAGGGTATGATAATAATAATAGCTGAATATAATCTAATTCCGAAGTTTAAAAATCGTTAACAACCAATACAAAACTCTTCTAAAGAACATGTGTCCTGCATAATAAGGATCAGGCATTGTATATAACACAAACAATATGTTTACTTAAAAAAGTAAAACAACATGTCCCATTTTGTCATGAAGTAAACATCAAACTGTGTGGGTCACAGTTATCAATGGGTCACGTTACAGAATCACAAACAGGGTAAATGTTTGTCTGTTTCTTGTTTACAAATTCCAATGCAAATTTACCTAGATTCCAAACAAGGACATCTATTTACCTGCCATTTGATTTGCTTATTGGATTGTAAAACTGAATGGAAAATATTGGAAAAAAATAAATATTTGCAGCCTCACGAAGAACGTGCTTATGAAATATGACACCATTTTGTAGTAGTAATCAGGGTGGTTTTCCAGAAGGAAGCAATTTACAGAACAGCTCTTGCCATAAGATTTACTTCCTGGCTAAACTATTTTGGACGCAGATCTTGTACATTACAACACGACTCAGCGCCATCGCACTCAGGGCGAGCCACCCAAGAATGGTTACAAAATGAGGTTCCTCGCTTCATTTCCAGCGCACAATGGCCACCAAAATCTTCGGATACCAATCTGTCGGACTATTGTGTCTGGAATATTTTGGAAAGCAAGTTTGACACTAAAAAATTCCGAAGTGTCGATCACCTCAAGCAAGCGCTTCCGCGGGGAATGGACCAAAATGCCGCAGAGCAACATTCGGTCAGCGTGTGACTATTTCATTGGGCGTTTGAAGGCCATAATTCGTGCCAAAGGGGGCCAATTCGAACAAATCTAAACTTTTTCTAAAATTTGATGCTATTTCCGACATTTTTTGCTTAAATTCAATAAAATTTTAAAAAAATTAAAAAATTATGGCCTTTGTCTTTTTTGCAGTTTTTATCTCACCCTGTATACCCTCTCTAGCCATATGGCCGAGGGTATGATAATAATAATAGCTGAATATAATCTAATTCCGAAGTTTAAAAATCGTTAACAACCAATACAAAACTCTTCTAAAGAACATGTGTCCTGCATAATAAGGATCAGGCATTGTATATAACACAAACAATATGTTTACTTAAAAAAAGTAAAACAACATGTCCCATTTTGTCATGAAGTAAACATCAAACTGTGTGGGTCACAGTTATCAATGGGTCACGTTACAGAATCACAAACAGGGTAAATGTTTGTCTGTTTCTTGTTTACAAATTCCAATGCAAATTTACCTAGATTCCAAACAAGGACATCTATTTACCTGCCATTTGATTTGCTTATTGGATTGTAAAACTGAATGGAAAATATTGGAAAAAAATAAATATTTGCAGCCTCACGAAGAACGTGCTTATGAAATATGACACCATTTTGTAGTAGTAATCAGGGTGGTTTTCCAGAAGGAAGCAATTTACAGAACAGCTCTTGCCATAAGATTTACTTCCTGGCTAAACTCTTTTGTTTTTCAAGTAAACGATAGTTTGTTTATGAAGCGAGGAAGCCTCTCTGCCGCTATGGACACTAGTTAGAAATTATAATACGAAAACAAATCGTAGAACAGAACGTGAATAGACCGGATTATCACTTAATATTTGCAATTGTTTTTTCTTCATTCTCTCATTGCAGACAAGACAAAACGCTTTGAAGCATAAAACGAAAAGCGTATAAAATTACATAATTCATTATTATTTATTATTTTTAGTGACAAAACCAAAAACCAAAACTTAAGGAACAACAACAACAAACATCGATAATGTAGTGTATTATGTGGAAGAAACAACAACAACAACAATAACGCATCAACAATCGTAATGAAATTGATTAATGTCAGGCTTGACTAGTTTTCCATCAAACGTCATTTGAAGAAGTGGAAAAAAATAGGGTGTGTATTATGTACTTGGATATATATAGGCTAAAGTCAAAAAGCATAGCGACATGCCTGCCGCTATGCTTTTTTTTTTTGTACAAATACAAAAAAAAAACAAAAACATCTAACAGATTCGCAGATAAATTTTGTGAGAATGTATGTCATTGGGTGAAAATGCCATGAAAAGATCAAAAACCCAATTAATTGCGGAAAATGTTGGAAAGATCGATAATATTTTCTATAGAAAAATGTTATTTGTATCCAATTTTCAATCGAAAAATATTATCCTGATATTTGCTATAGAAAAATATTATATTTTCTATAGAAAAAAAATGTAAAATTTTTTAAAAGAAAACTTTAGCCGTATAAAATTTTTTGAGAAAAATATGTTATCTGTAGAAAAATCTTATGGGGATATTTTCAATAGAAAAATGTTATACAGAAAATAATTATTATAGAATCTGTTAAAATCTTAAAAGTACCGAATGTAGCCATTATATTGGGATCTATACGATGACGTAGACCAGCATAGGCAACTTTTGTCATAAGCTACTATAATAATCAAATGCGAAACTTAAAAAAATTCGTTGAATAATGCAGCTAAAATTATCAAAATACCAAATATAGGGAGATACCATCATTATGTGGGGGCTACACCAAAAAGTGGACCTGCACAGACAATTTTCTGTCATAGGCTGTAGTATTCATTACGAACTTCAAATACACAATTAAAAAAAAATTCTGGTGAATAATGTCGCTAATATCACCAAAAACGGAATATCGGGAGGTACCGTTATATGGGGGCTATACGAAGACGTGGACCTTGCACAGATAATTTTCTTTCATAGGCTGTAGAGTCCATTATAAACTTCAAATACCAAATTTGAAACAATTCCGGTAAATAATGTCGCTGAAATCATGAAAATACCAAATATCGGGAGGTACCCTTATATGGGGGCTATACGAAAACGTGGACCTGCACGGACAATTTTCTGTCATAGGCTGTAGCATCTGTTACGAACTTCAAATACCAAATTTGAAACAATTCCGGTAAATAATGTCGCTAAAATAATATATGGGGGCTATACGAAGACCTGGATCTGCACGGAAAATTTTCTGTCATAGGCTGTAGTATCCATTAAGAACTTTAAATACCAAATTTGAAACATTTCCGGTGAATAATGTCGGTTAAATCACCAAAATACTGAAAATATGAAGGTACCATTATATGTGGGCTATACCAAAACGTGGACCTACATGACCCATTTTCAATACCGAAAGTCCTGCAGGCATAATACACATTTTAGTAAAATTTTATCAACCTACTTCATTTCGTTCGGAAGCTAGAGTTATTTCCACATATGGACAGATGGACTGAAATCGTTAAATCGACATAGAATTTTATGCTGATCAAGAATATATATACTTTGTGGGGTCTAAAATGTATATTTCGATGTGTTACAAATGGAATGGCAAACTTAATATACCCTCCATAATATAGTGGATGGTATAAAAATGTTATCCTTAGAATATTTTTTGTAGAAGAATATTATTCGGATTATATTTCCTATAGAAAAATGTTATCCACAAGATTTTATGAGAAAAATATTTTCTATGTTATCCGGATTTTTTCCATTTTGAATAGATTTTTTTCAAATTTTAATTAGCTTGTTATTACCTCCCCTTTTATTTTTACTATTTAAATTAAATTCAAACATTTATTTAAATGCCTTAGCATTTTATTTAAATGTAAATTTCTTTTATCCGTTAATATTTCACTTAAAAACAACTCATTTTGTTGCATTACTGCTTGCAAATCGCGTATGAAAATATGCTACCTATTGACCTTATCAATGGTGTGTTGTGTGGCAGCAAGAGAGTGAGTACAACTTTCATATGTGTCACGGAGTAAGAGAGAGAGAGCGCGAATTGCTACAGTGAGAGTCGATGGGTGGTAAAAGAAAACTCACCCCATTCGATTAGGGCAAACTAAACAAATAAATGCCACCACTAGTGAGTGAGCGCGCTTTTGAATGCCATGTCTGCCTGCCTGTTTTGTCACAGCAAATTGGAAAAATATTCTCCCGCTGGGTTGAAAACAAAAACATCTGCTGCTCTTCGTGTGTGTGTTTTAGGGTGCTCATTGTCGGCGAATGTCGTTGATGAGCGAAAATTTCAAATTGAATGCCGAGTTGTGGATGAGACTACACGAGCCAATGTTCGATAGATTCACTTTTAGTTCTGTTCTTGCTTTCTTCGGTTTAATTACACACAACACAGAAAATACAATCTACATCTTTTAGTTGCTTTGCTTTGTCTTGCCACCGTCGTCTTCGTTGTCGAATAAAATAAAAATACAACGGATTTGTTTTGATTTGCTTGATGATTTTTTAGCTTGTCTCGTCTGCTGCTGCTGTCAGCAGTTAAACAATCCCAGAGATACAAGAAAAAACTTCATTTGCTCCCAACAAAAAGGAAGAGTGGAGAAAGATGCAAAGCATCTCTGTGTGAATACCAAAGAAAAAAAAAAACAAAAATAAAAACAATGACAATAATAGTTTAAACTATTTAAAAGAAAATGTATTAAGTGCAATAACAAATTGTGAAAGTGTATAAATAAAGAAAAGTGGAAAAATAAAGAATATTTGAAAAATCATATTTTGCTCGGATAGCCAACCAGAATTGAGTGCTAAAATGTGTATGTGACAGCATCTGTGCGGGGACCTCAATGTGTACTTTTCTGAAGGCTCTTTTTGTTTTTGTGGATGCTGCAAAAAATATTATTTTAAAGAAAAACAAAATATATGTTCTCAATACTCAATAAATAAATTATCAGTGTCGCTTTTGGAGCCAATTTTCCAAGTCTATTCAAAAATATATAAGTGAACGGCGAGTTTATAATAATTTAAATAACAAGTAAACATTGCTGTTGTTATACATATATGTATATATTCAACAACCACAACCATATCTACGTGTGGCTACGTCTGGCTGTAACGTATATAGGAAAAGCCACAATATTATTTTCAAACATACATACGTATGAGTCTGCCCATCGATTGCGTTGTATATAAAAAAAAAACAACAACAAGAAATTATAACATAATTTCGTTTTGAATTCATCACATCACTTGTTGTTGTAGTCGTTGTTATTGTGTTAATTTATTTTAATTGAACTCGATTTTATTCGTCGCCGTCGTCTTCATCGTTCTATGGAATAGCAACAGTGCGCCATCGAACAACATCAAGATAAGGATCTATTTTACAAATGTACAACAGCAGCGGACGCTCAATTTGGAATCCCATGTGGTAAGTAGGCACACAAGCGGTTATATTTTTACATAATTTGCTACTTCCATTGCCCACCAAAATACACAAAAACAAAACAATAGAAATAAAACGGCATATGCGAGTTGAAATTCATCCCCAGTTCTTTTTTTTCTCTACCCAACCATCAACTATCATGAAACGGATTATAGTTCATCAACAGCAGGATAACAATTAGAAATTGTTAATGTTACCCCCCTATACGATTCGAAATTTCCCTTTGTAGATGGTTCATTGACACAAACACATTCACACGGACACATCGATTGACATACGCTTTCATTTAAGAACATCCCTTGCATTGTTATTGTTTTGCGTTTTTGTTTTCTAAGGCACATCTTTGTTAATCTCTGTAATATTCCCAACACTCTCCATGTTTTGTTTTCATATTTCCCTCTATCTCTCTCTCGCTCTTTTACTACGATGCTCTGTTGTTAATCTCACATACATGGAGAAGGGGTGCTGTGTATGAATGCTGTGATATTTAGTGGTTATGAATCATCATTTTCAATTAGAGACGAAAAAAAAGACAAAAAAAAAAAACATTTTCAATGGCAGATGTCGTTTTTTTTTGGCAAAGTAATTGCGAAAAATCTGGCCAGATGGGGGAGTGAGATGTGTACAGCATGTTGGCTTCTTTTTATACCCTCCAGCATAGTATGGAGGGTATATTAAGTTTGTCATTCCTCGAAATATACATTTTAGACCCCACAAAGTATATATATATTCTTGGTCAGCATAAACTTCAATGGCGATTTAGCTATGTCCGTCCGTCTGTGGAAATCACTCTAACTTCCAAACGAAATGAAGTAGATTGATAAAATATTACTCAAATGTATATTATGTCTGCAGGACTTTTGGTATTGAAAATGGGCCATGTAAGTCCACGTTTTGGTATAGACCCCATAGAAATTTGGTATTTGAAGTTCGTAATGAATACTGCAGCATATGACAAAAATTTGTCTGTGCAAGGTTCACGTCTTCGTATAGCCCCCATATAACGGCCCCTACCGATATTTGGTATTTTGATGTTTTTAGCGATATTATACATTGGAACTGTTTCAAATTTGGTATTTGAAGTTTTTAATGGATACTACAGCCTATAGCGGCCTTGACAGGACAGGAGTAATAAATAAAAATAGTTGTAGCATGGTTACCAGCTTCTGATTTGACTAGTTTTCTGTCGCCGTACTTTCTGGGGCAAAGCAGTTCTCTTTAGACGAGTGTTACATTCCTCTCTTTTACATGTTTTTTGCAGTATACTTTGTGGGATTTGACATATTTCTTGCGCAACGAAATTTGACTTATAGTACGTTTATATATATGAGGGTTAACCCACTGGGTTTGGATTTAAATTGTCATATCCATTATTTTTACTTCAAATAAATCCTCTCGAAGTAGGTTAACCCTACAAAAAGTTCTAACGTAAACATTGGATTAGATTGTTAAACCTTTCAATGCCAAATGTCGATGAGACGGAAATCGACCTAACTATCCCTAGTTTCGGAGTGTAGTTGTGAGCAAAATAAAAAAAAAGAGTAGATAAAAAATAGTTCGATGTTAGTGTTTTTTTAATTGAGTAGTTTTGGCAACAGATTATACGATGGATTTAAAGAAGAAGAAATATCTGTTTTCAGTCAAATTTCTCTTTGCTTATTTAAATCAAGAACAAAACAGTGTTAAGTCATTATTTATACAAATATTTTTTATCCATTTGCTTTATAAACTATTTTGGCAAACATTCGTGTTTAAAAACAATTAAATAGAACAGTAAAATATAAAGAAAAACAGAATTTTAATTTTCTCTTAAATTATCTCTTTTTTCTCTTCGTGTTCTAGAACACGGTTTTGAGCACCCCTGATTTAAAGGGACAATATTCAAAGAATATAAAATAAAACAAACAACTCCGTTTGCAATCAAAAAAACGACTTTGTTTTTTCCACAGGCAAACGTTTCCATTGATATTTTAAACTTTTCAATCAAAAAGTAAAGAAAAAAACGATGAGTCAAAAGTCGACCTATGTATCCCTAGTTTCTACGAATGCAATGAATGGTTAGCACTAGCAATACTAATAATGCAACATTATTTAGTCCAATAAAAAGGTATTTTCCAATAGCAACCTGTCTGTAGAACGTGTACAGGTCTTGTAAACCATAAAATACGTTCTATATAGTCGATCTTTATATATAAGCTATTACCTAATTTCTGCGGTGGTACACTTTCTACAGGTAATTGACAGTCCTTTTTAAGTTCGAAAAAAGGCCACCAGATTGAACACTGATTTTGACTTGTTGACAATTTGTTTTTCATTAGAATAACAATGATTCTGAAACATCAACCCAAATAACCCGGTTTCATCTCAAGTTTTATAACAATCGGCATAATTGCCTTTTAGATATACATACCTATATTTGTTTGTAATTATATTAATTGCAAACTAACAAAACAACTACAAAAGTGTAACAAATCCTATAAAACGTTCCCATGTCGCGATGCGATAAATCATGTAATAGGCGCTCTTTTTTTCTACAAATAACAACAAACATCTACTCAGTGTGTTAATTAAATGCCATTTAAGGTAATATTACCCCACACCCGTATCGGTGTTTTGTTGTTGTTGTTTATATTTTTATTCAATCGAAAACTGATTAATTAAAAATGTTCGCATTTGTGCATTTTGAAATAAAAAGCCTCTCTAGGTTATGTGTGCATTGACATTTCAGTTTCAGTATTGAATTTTGTTGCTTTTTTTTGCGACGGAATTTTTTTTGTATCCATTTGTGGTGCCGACAATTTCAGTTAGCCGGTTGATTGGTTAGCAGAGGCTAGTTCGGCGACAACGTGATATAATTTTATTGTATTTTGCAAAAAAAAATTATTATTATTGAATTTTCCCATGAAAAATGTAGGAAATCTTCACGAAGCGTTGGATGAAAATTTTTGAATAAATTAGCTTTATTTTTTGGTGATCAAGCTAGTTAGACAATCTTAAAGATCATATAGTCTTAATAAATTATTTTAATTCTAAAGTTTTTAAATAATTTAACAAAACTTGTAGATATGCACTATTTCATAACTGCGCTTGATTGGGCGGCTTATCAACACTTATATTTTGTCATCAATGTTATTGTTGTTGTTGTTCCGGCAGGGCCGCTTACTCCATTTGTTATTTACAAAACTTTGTGTTATCAGCTGTTGAACATAAATATTGGTCATTTATTTTAAAAAAATGTCATTTCCTGGCTTTCGATTTCTTTTCATGCACGACTACTATCAATATGCCTCTACAAGAGAACTCTTACCATTGAGAGAGGGGAAATGAGTTAACCTCTTTCATTCCATGTTATTCATTCTTAAATTCTTTGAAATTTTTTGTTGCAATCAATGCCAATGACACATTGAAGTTTGAGAAAGTAAGCCGCTTTGTGTGTGTGTGCGTGCATGCAGTGGGTTATCGAATGAAGGCGAATGCTTCATTTGTATTATTTTTTCATATATTCTTTTGATAACGGATGATGCCGCTCAAAAGAGAATTCTAATTGGACAGGGTTTAATTGATTTGTTATTTCTCATTGTTCTGGACAAAAATCTCTGTTTACATTTAAATGCTTGCCATAGGAGATGAGAGATAACGAATGAAACTTCGCAATGAGTATTATTTACATTTCGTTTCCTTTGTTGTGAATTATTGGACACGAGGTTCAATGGGATAGAAAGAGATAGTCGCATGAGTTGTGGGGATATAAAGGCGTTTTACGAAGATTCTTAATTTATTATATTCAAAGGAATTGAGAAAAATTTATGGAACGCTTTTCAACGATCTTGCGGTATCCGTCCATCCGTCTGTTTGGCTGGTACGCACGATAACTCACGAATCCGATTTTCAGTATCCGATTTGGTCCAAAGTTGGTACTTCATAATATTATTATTATCAAACTTAGATCGTCTTCGGAGATGGACAATATCGGTGCACTGCTTGTGGTACCTCCCCCACAAAAGGCCGACATTTTCAAAGAAAATATTTTACTGCACAGAAAGAGAAAGGATAGTCCGATTTTGCTCCAATTTTGCAAATCCTAATATTTGCATCAGTGCTAGTCTGCTATTTTGAATAACTGTAACTCTTATAAAATGTAATATAAGATTCCGATTATCTTCAAATTACACACATCACAATATTTTTATTAACCCAAGGTCTGGTATGAAAATGGTATATATTGGCCCACTCCTTCGGGTACCTCTCCCACAAAGGGTCAAAATTTTAAACATCCATGAAGCTCATAAAATGCGAAATTAACATCCGATTCCATTCAGACTTGGCACATCGCAATATTTCCATCAACACAAGATATTATAAAGATGGTAGAGATAGGACCATTTCTTCTCGTACCTCCCCCACAAAGGGTCAAAATTTTGAATAATCAAAACTATTAAAGAGTCCGAAATAAGTATCCGACTCTCTTCATATTTCACACACCCCATTGTTTCTACCAACACAACATCTGCTGTGAAGATGGAATATATCGGTCCATTCCTTCTGATACCTCCCCCACAAAGGGTCAATATTTTGAATATCCTTGAAGCTCATAAAACGCGAACTTAATATACGATTACATTCAGACTTGACCCATTTCAATATTTCCATTAACACTAGATGTGTTATGAAGATGGTAGAGATCGGACCATTTCTTCTGGTACCTCCCCCACAAAGAGGCAACATTTTGAATAACTAAAACGATTATAACATCCGAAATAAGCATGCGATTCTCTTCATATGTCACACATCCCATTATTTCTACTAACACAACTTCTGCTGTGAAGATTGGATATATGAGTCCTCTCTTTCTGTTACCTCCCCCACAAAGGGTCAATATTTTGAATATCCTTGAAGCTCATAAAAGGCCAAATTAGTACCCGATTCCATTCAGACTTGACACATCTCCATATTTCCATCAACACGAGATCTGTTATAAAGATGGT